CCCGGCCCTAGCGCCCGCCCGCCGGGGCACAGCGCCCCGCCGCGGACCGGCGGCGAGCGGCCGCCGCCCCCTCACAGCCCCGCCGGGGAGCGCTGAGGGAGGCGGCGGGTACGCGACACCGGCACCGACACGTCCTCACGGGGCGGCGGGCAGACCCCGGTGCTGCCGTCCTGCTCCGAGGAAGCCGGGCCCCGGCAGCTGGTGGGATCCCCAGTGAGGCCCGCAGGCAGCTTCCAGGCGCCCCTCACAGCCGGTGTTGCTGTAGGTGGTGGAGTGGCCTTGGAGGTAAAACAAAACAACCCAAAAACCGCCCTTGAACATTACAGTTCAGCTCAGACTTCACACGGGCCGGGGGAGGACGTTGAGCGGTTTCCCCAGGCACAGTACTATGGACTCGGCGCGTTCAGCTGTGGCCAAACTCAGTCACTCGTAGCCCTTGGTGCTTTTCTTTTCCCCTGAACTTCAGCTCCAGGATTAAAGTCTGGGTTTGTGTTAATGATTCCGGCACGGAGAGGGACGGTGGGCCAGGGAGAGGAGAGAAGGAGAGGAGAGGAGAGGCCGGCCGCTCGCTGAAGCGCGGGGAGCAGCAGGCCGCAGTCCTGTGGCGGGTGCCGTGGCCCACAGTGGCACAGCGCTGTGTCCAACGCCAACCCCAGCCCCTGCGAGGGAGAGCCGGGCTGCAGCCGCTTCCCCGGCTTCATACAGAGCTCCTGGAGGTGTCATGGTGTAGCGGGAGTAGCTGAAACAGAGACTCTTTATACAGGTAAACGTAGGCCTGAGATACTAGAGAACATGTGTTGACAGAAAAAAAGTGGGGTTTTCTATCTATAGAAAAATGGCGGTTTTGGCATTTCTATGCCATAGCATAGTTTCTGAAGGAAGGTGAATCTGTGCATCTCTGTCCTTAGGAGCCTCCTCTCCCTGCAATAACTCAAGAGTGGGAAAATTAAATTCCTCAACATTTTGTGAGAACAGGTAGAGGAGACAGCTGCTGGAGGCCTCACTATCCAATATGAAATGAATAGCTATACAATAATACGATATCCTACAGGACTATCAGATTATTTACATCCAGAGAATCTAGTGGGGCTAAAGTAAGAAAAGGAAATTTCATTAATTGATGGAAGTATTTATGAGTGACAACTGGAACAGGAGGGGGTGTTTTATCTGAAACTCTATTACTGCAAAGCCTTTGAAGCTCATACAATTCTACAGCGTTTGTTAGACGTCAGTGGGATTAATGACCACACATAAAAGTCACTAAATCTTTGCAGGGCTGGGGTTGTGTGCAAGACTGGAAGTTTGGGTGAATTACAGTGATAGTGTCTGGAGCTGGGCATGTCAGGACATGTTTGAAAGGGGAGGAAGAATTTCTCCAGGCGGCTGTGAGTGGTGCAGAGGAAATACAGCTACCCACTCAGAACATAGCTGGGATGCTTCTGTGGTGAAAAGCGCTGGGAGACTTGGAAATACCCATCAGTGCTCTGGAGATTAGCTATATGTCCTACCAAAAGAATAGGCTATAGGTTAGGTCACTGTGGAAGTTATGGTTTTCTTCTTAAACTGGAAACCTTCTTGCCTACATATTCCTGGCACATTCACTGACTTGTCACAAGCCATTGCTGTCATTAATGTTTGTGATGTGATCATCTAGGTAGGGAATTCCTTTAAGTCTGTTCCTCTGCCTTTCCTCTGGGAGGATTGTGTCACATGCATTTCAGAGAGCTGTTTAAAATGTCACTGCTGCAGACTGATTGTTGGTCTCCATAGGCACTAGGCAGTCGTTTGGGGGAATATGTTTTGAATCAGTTTCTTTCTGCTGCAGTGAACATTTCAGGGAGCTGGTTAACATCTCCTTTGAGGGTGCTGTTTACAAACAGACATGGGCAGAACCCCAGGAAGGAGTTCTGGCAAAAGTACAGGACCCACATGCCAGAATCACCCTCAGTGATCAGCACCCAGAAGGTTGTTCTCTTCTAAAGACACAGATGGGTGTTAGCTGTCTCTCTGCTGACCTTAGAGCCACAGTTTGAGGATGGAGACATAGCAGGAGCGATTTAGGGCTCTGGCAGACAAACTCTTATGAGTCTTGATGTCTGAATTTAAGCTATAGCTACGACTAGCTCCCTTGTGATGACTTGCAGGAGAGGCTGAAGATAGAGGCACACACCAGTGCCACAGCCATGCCCACAGTGATGCTGGGCTGTTGCCTGGATGGCAGAGGGGATGGCACACATTCCCTCCTGCCTTTCCCATAGGTGCGGAGCAGAGGAGGCAGCAGTGCTGCAGCACCACGTAACTGTGTGCTCTCTGAACGTGAGGCAGGGCGCTTATAAAGCCTCACCAGTCATCAGGTGTTAACAAAGCTGCTCCAGGCACCAGCTGCAGCATCCCAGGAATCAGTGCTCACTCATGAGCTGAACTGCTGCGGTTACCTGAGGACTGCCAAGCTACCCTCTGGGCAGGCTGTTGCTCCTGTTGCTCCAGAACTGCTGCTCTGGCCCCAACCAGAGGTTAACAGATGTGATTTGGCTGTAGCAATGCCTGACAATTGTGTTCTTCCATGAGCTGGTGGGTGGGAAGAGGGGAGGAGAAGGAAACGGGAGAGATTTGAGACTCGTGCTTTCTGCCTCCACTGAGCTGTGCAGAAACCTATTGGCAATTCTTACTGTGCTGGACTTAGCTGACCCTTGTGTGAGTCCAAAGTACATGTAAGGAACACAGGAGTCATTTGCTGGACACACTAATGGTGCAAGAGCTGGCATGTGGCCAGAGTCTGAGATCTGTGTAAGGAGTCAAAGCCATGACACATCCCAGCACTGAGAGGGCTCCGCTTCAGTGCAAGGCAGAGAGGCAGTAAGTTGGGACTGACAGCCTGTTGACAAGGTAACTGACCCTCCGCCCACCCCTGCAAGCTGGTGGTCAGGACATTTTCTGGCACTGGATCAGCACTGAGTTGCCTCTTGTCTGTCCACATTCCCTCTTCTCCCTGTCCCTCTCGGTCCTTCATTTGGCTGGGTTTCTCTCCTGTGTTTGTCATACATAGGCTGAATGTTACAGATCCAAAAAACCATCTGTGTGCTTCACTGAATAACTAAACTCCCATGATTTTATGACTGGATAGTTATTAATTCCGTAAGGAACTAGCAGTGTTTATATTATTTTGTAAATAAAAGACAGTTGACAATGCATGAAAATAATGACTTCAGAGTTCTCCTGCTAAGTTCAGACTTCCTGCTAAGTTGACTCTCTTTGAGAAGTAAGGCTGTGCATTTCGGATCCTTTTTCAGGGAGTCTTTTACCCTGTCTCATAAAATGGTGCTTTTTGCTGATCACACACCAAAATAATGCTTAAAACATCGATATTTAGTATCTTTTCAGGGCTTTGCTCCGTTCATTTCATTCCTGGCAAACAATATATCCCCCGTGCTTGTAAACTAGAAAAAATGTAAATATCTTTGTACCAAGTGACACTGTGGTCAGCCAGTAATTAATGCATGATTGGTGGGTAATCTCTGCAATGTTTTGGTTCACGCTGTTACTTCTGCATTGTCAGTCAGTAGCAGACATTGCATTTACAGAAGTCAGAGTTGAAGTGCTTGGGCAGCGTTCGGTGCCTCTCTGCTGTATAAGGCAACTGAAATGTGATCTGCAAGATTAGTGGGGCTTGTGGCAAGGAAAGGAACATGAATTACAGGAGGCTGCCAGAGTGACAGGACTGAGTGCTGCTGGTTGAATGCAGGGTCAGGGTTTCAGCTGCATGATGGTCAGTGGAGAGCAGGGGCCACGCAATGGCTGAACTGGAACTGTCTTCAGCAGTTACTCCAATTAACAGTTGGGATTGTTGTGTATTCCACTGTGTAGTAGTAAAAGCTGTTCTGAAACCATATGGCTAATACCAGGTTTGTATCTGTTTCACTGTAGCATTTCTAGGAGAGATAATCAGTAAGGAATAGCCTTGAAGAGACTACTATGGCTCTTGCTGCTGTGCATTTTTCACTGAAAATCCCAAGTGCTGTGTCCCTGCGGGCTCCCCTGCGAAGATGTCTCCGACTTTGTAGCCGAAGCTACACAGTTCATGCCTCTTTCAGTTATGAAGCCATGCAACAACAGTACAGACCAGAGGTGCCAGAGTACTTCAACTTTGCAAGAGATGTGCTGGACAGATGGACTGAAGTGGAAAAGGTAATGGTTAATTGGCTTCTCTGATTACAAAGTATTTAATGCTGATCATTAATGCTGAATATCTGACAAATCCAATGACCAAGACACTGGGGTTATGTTCTGATTATAATCTGATTATCATCTCATGAAGGTTGAACGTGTAGATCCCTTAGGCCACATGCTGCCCTGTCCACCAGACCAAATTGTTTCCTTTAATCAGTAACTCCAGTGAGATCAAATGTGAGTAAATAGGTGTCTCATAAATGAGACTGTGAACTGAACCACTCTAAACCCTCCCCCATCAGCTGTGACATGCACCCTACCTGGATGTGCGGGGAAAATCACTTGACTTCTGTGTGTGTCATTGCCTGCCTGTAAAGTGAATAATAAATACAGTGTAATGTCAAACCTCAGCCACCTATCCCAAATGTGAAATCTTTTGCATCCAGGGACTTGGAATCTACAAAACTGAAAAACTTTGAACACCAAACCAGATGTGAGATCTACACAAGGAAAGGGAATATTGAAAAACCCCATGGAGTATGGTTCTGTCACTTTTCTTACCATGAATGTCTGGTCTCTATGGATGTAGGACTGATTTTGCAGGCTCAGGCTGTTCATGATGAGGGGCTAAATGCAGTTATTTCCAGCCTGGCAGCAAGAACAAAGCAGAGGTATCACCCATCTGACACAATTGTTCCTTTTGCAGGTAAAACCGGTTTTGGCAGGCTGTAAATGGGGAACGGAACGCCTCTGGAGAAGAGGTTTTTCCCTCTGAAGTGCATGGATAAAATCTGCTCCACTGAAAATGAACCTTAGTGTTATTATACCTTCAAATAGATAATAAGGTGTCATGTTCTTGCTGCCCCAGTGAATTTTTTGCTCAGGAGGTTACTTGCTATACTATTACTATACTACTAAATGCATTGGCCCCCTTTAAGACGCATTGTATACATACATTTTAAATCACTTCACGTGAGACATTGATTAAAGGTCACACTGTGTGGGGCTATGCTTTTGAAAGTTTGATTTAATTTTCAGAAGTAGCAGACAGGCCCAATTCCAGATGAATCTGAACATGAGCTGTGACAGCTCAGGAGACTGTGGGGCACAACACAGAGGTACCCATGTTCATCAGCTGCTTTGTTGATGTGACCTGAACCAAAAAGATTCTTCTTCTTTTTCTGTCCTGATCACTGTAAACCTCTTCAGAGTGTGAGATTAAGAACTCAGGAAAGGAATACAAATTAAATTTTCTAAATGACATTTATAGGCTGCTTTTTCTAAGGGAGAGTTCTCTGCCTCTTTTGAAATCAGTGGTGAATTTCTGTTGCATCAACAGGTTTCTCCAGCACTGAATAAGTGATGAATGCTTTTCTTCCTTGGTCTTAAGGTAAAGGCAATGTGTTTCTAAAATGAAGCATTTGTACTGTACCCTCGTGTTCTGTAGGAGGGAAAAAAGCCTAAAAACCCTGCGTTATGGTGGGTAGATGGTGCCGGAGGAGAGGTGCGGTGGAGCTTTGAGGAGCTGGGAGTGCTGTCCAGGAAAGTGGCAAATGTACTCTCTGATGCCTGCGGTCTGCAACGGCAAGACAGAGTTATTCTGATTCTGCCCCGGGTCCCGGAGTGGTGGCTGGTGAACGTGGCTTGTATGAGAACAGGTTAGTAAAAGCATAGAAATGATATGTAGGTACAGAAATTGTAACTTAAACCAATCCTTGCTATTTAATGCACTCAAGAACTACCAACATGCTGATGAGGATGAACTAGTGTCATGCTGGTCAAAACCACTCTTTATACCACGTTTTTTCTTTTTGGTGCTTTTAGGACTTTGGCACATGCTCTGGCTGTTAAGGAAACCCTGTGAGTCCATATGGCTCTGTCATTCTTCTCTTTCCAGCACTTATGACACATCACAAATGAACCCCCTTGCTAACTTGCAGTGAAATTAGCACACACTTAATGAAGTGTTTCACACATTCACTTGTGGGATCTGTTAAATACTCAGCTTCCCAGTATTTACCATCCAGAATGTCTTGGTCCCTCACAAAGACAAGCAGTATGCCTTGTGAGGCAACAACTATCTTTACCAGTAAAGAAGTTAAGTCCAGAGATGGCATGTTCCAGGGGCAGTGTTTTCAGAACAAGAAAATTCTGTTTATTTCTTTTACTGTCCCATGCTCAATGTAGTATTTGCTAACTTGTGCTAATCCTCACATAGCATTTAATCCATCAAAGAAATTGGCGTATTTACAAATGTAGGGCCAAGTTCTCTTTTAGTATAGCACTCTGTCCCACTTAAAAGAGCAAAGTAAGCTGAAGTCTGCTTGTAGGTGCAAGTGCTATTCTGAAATGTTGAGGCTGTTTTTCCATTCCTCTTCCTTCCCTTTAGGAACTGTCCTGATTCCTGGCACACAGCAATTGACAGCAAAGGACATTCTTCATCGACTACAGAAATCCAAGGCAAAGTGTATCATCACTGATGATTCTGTGGCACCAGCTGTAGACTCGGTTGGGGCTGAATGCCAGTCTCTGAAATTCAAGTTGCTTGTGTCGGAGGGCCACAGAGAAGGGTGGCTGAGCTTTAAAGATCTCCTGAAGTGAGTAAATACCGCTGTGAAAGCACCTCAGCAGTAATGAAAGAAAAGCACAGTGGTTTGTTTTCAGTAGGAAACTTTGGCACAGGCCAATATATTTTCACCCTTTTCAGACTGCACAGTGGAAAAACATCAACGTTGATGGCAGTTTTGATTGCTCAGTTATTTTGGTTAAATATTTTTTAAAATGTGCAAGTCACCCTTTCAAATCAGTTTATTCATTGTTTTGCTTATTTTAAGAAATGCTTCTTCTGACCACCACTGTGTGACCACAAAGTGTCAAGATCCGATGGCCATCTATTTTACCAGTGGAACTACAGGTTCTCCAAAAATGACTGAACATTCCCACAGCAGCTATGGTATTGGCCTCACAGCAAGTGGAAGGTACAGATATCACTTTAAATCAGACATATTTCTCTAGCTGGTCACATAGCAAAAGGAGGAGAAACAGAAGATTTTTAATGGAAGCTTTTGTTTCAATAGTTTAAACAAGAGCAGTTGTTCTACATCCCAAGGAGTGGTGGGATTTTTTCATAAAACAGTTTGAGTCCAGCTGCCTTAATGTATAGTGAATGTAGCAGCAATGTAGACACTAACTTCTTTTTAACATTTTCTTTAACTTTTGGTAAATGAAGTCTGTACCATAAAACAGGAAAAAGCACAGGTCTGTTAGGCTTCTGAATTCATGTGTGTCTGGCTTAACATAGCTCCTGCAGGAACAAAATGCTGATAGTTCTGAATCTTTAAATTTATAAAGCAACGTTGTTTATAAAATTGATATGGCAGTGCACTTCACTCTAACAGACAAGGAATAACAAATCAGAAAATACCAAACTAGAAGTAAACAAAAAAAATGAGTTCAACAAAATCCCAGCAATCTCATACATATTCATACAACATCATGTCCTCAGGTGGCGTTAGCTTATCCATCAGTATAATTTTTCCCTTACAAAAATGCAGCATCAGCCCATCCCGATGACATCCTCACTGTGGTGTGACTTAACTCCTGCTCAGAAATTCAGCCTTTTCTAATTGCCATTTACCCAAGACAACCAGTGATGGATTTGCTTCACTGGCACATCTCTTGTTGATATTTTAATATTTGCCTTGTCCCTGCCAAATAGAAACTGTGAACCGCTTCCTTGTGTTACCAGGTACTGGCTGGACTTGACTTCCTCAGACATATTTTGGAATACATCAGACACGGGCTGGGCAAAGTCAGCTTGGAGCAGCATTTTTTCATCATGGATTCAAGGGGCGTGTGTATTTGTCCATAAGATGCCACACTTCGACCCAAGCATTGTCTTTGAGGTGAGTGAGGAGAGCCCAACAGCAAACAGTTCTCTTTGGCTGGTCTTGCCCAGGTTCTCCTTGACTCTGGCGCTGCACGGGGGCAGCATGCAGCAGAGTTAGAACTTTCACCAGGTGATAACCAAACAATCAGTTAAGTAGTGAGTGCTGCAAATATGTACCCCAAAACAAGAGCTTATTTGAGATCCAAAGAGTTTAACCATATACTCTGCTCTGGATTTGACTGCACAAACCTGTAAATGTTATTGGCCTAAAAGTGAAGTACACAAGAAATTGTTCTGGGATTTGTGGAGATCTTTGTTGTTGTTAAAATAAGTGACAATAACAGATGAATGAGAATTTCGGTTGCCTGCACCATTGCCTGCACCTGTAATTAAAAATTAAGGAGTGAAGAGGCAGCAAGGTTGAATTTCTTTAACAAAGGACACCAATGTTATATTCTCTTACATCCTCCACACACAACTCTTCATCGTTTGATAAAAGACTACTGTATTTCATTTTAAATGGAATGATTTTATCAGCATATCCATGTTAACGAGATGGCTGGAAATTGCTAGTTAATGTTAGGGTGTGTTGAAGAACACTGTCAGTTGTATAGCTACAGAGCATCTAGAAAAGTAGCCTGATGGTTTTACTCGTTTTCTAATTAAATTGCATTTATGAAGAAATTCTGCAAGAGAAACTGTAAAGCTTTCAAGAGCAACAAACTTTGTTGTGTGGAACTAATTGTAAAATTATGCACATTCTGTTTTGAAAAGAAACTAATTAAATGTAACTGCTGTGTGTTGGTGTTGGCAAGTACATTGCTAACTGCTTTTAGGACACTTACTGTTTTATTCTCGTGTGTTTCATAAGCTGGATGCAGAGATCATGATATTATCTCTTACAACGAAGATGAGACCTGACAGGTTTCGGTATATTGGCAACATTTACGTTTTAAACTGTTTTTTTTTTTTAATTCTCTAGACTCTGTCAAGATTTCCCATAACTGTTTTCTGTTCTCCTCCAACTGCCTATCGAATGTTTGTGCAACATGAACTGTCCAGGTAAGCAAAAGCAGAGTATCCGTGTTGGTGTATTTGATCAAAACAGTAGACCAAATGCTCGTGTTACCTTCATTTTATTCCAAATTTACAATGGCATAACAGTGACACAGCTCATTTATTTCTCAACATTTTGAATCTTAAGTATGAGGAACAAAGTCAGAATAAAGATTTAGGGACAGCTTAACCATCTCAGATTTCATAAATTACAGTGAACTCGCATTGGACTTGGAGAAGCAGTTTAGCTGAGGATGTAATGGGATACCTGTCGTACCATGATTAACTTCAGAAGTCCTTTATAATCACATCCCTCCTTTTGTTTTTCCACTTGTTCCTCCATTCCTATAAGCTACAAGAAATGTGTGTCAGCACAGCTTGGAGAAATATATGACAGACCGATTGGCCTCATTTAACTCTTCAGTGAGTTTTTATTGTCATTAGGATTAAAGGATTAAACTTTGTTATTTCTCTTCAGTTTAGACCCCGGTTGAGATTCTAGGGTTAGTAACAGTATATTGATCATTAGATTTTCTAAAGTTATGCAAAGTAAACCAGATTTTTTTTCTTTTTTATTTGCATTTTTTTCAGATTTGTTTTTGTTTAACACTACGCAGTTCAAACGGAATGAACAGGACTCAGTAAAAATTTTTATTTTAGTAGAAAGTACCCCACAATACAGGAATACAGTAGCGAATGGGACATGGCAGACAGGTGACTGCCAGTTATTTGTTCTCTCTTTCCCACTAAGCTACACGTTCAGGAGCCTGCGGCACTGCGTGAGCGCTGGGGAGCCCATCAACCCTGAGGTCATGCAGGAATGGAAAGCACAGACAGGGCTGGATATTCACGAAGGCTATGGACAGACAGAAACAGTATGTTCTGCTTTACAGAAATGTAAAAATGCATGATTTACAGACACAGCAATAAATTCAATTCAGGCTGCCAAGAAAAAGCAATTAAAATCATTTATACAGTTATGACTTTCAGGGGAAAAGTCAATTGCAATAAGCAACATTGAAAAAATGTAGGTTTTGTAAGTCGTAGAACAATCATAACAGCTTCACCCAAAATCCAAGGACTGTTTTTCATTCCTGTGGGCTTTGGATTGGGAACTAACACAAAATGGGTATATTCCTCACCAGTGCATTCCAAATTGTGCTTTAGAATCTATCTTGAGAGCAGTCATTAACGTTACCTGGAGCTGTGGGCATGATTCTGAGGGCACAGGTTATTTCTTGAAGTTTAATCGTTGGATTTATGAGTATAATGAGGACAATTAGTATTTCTCATAGAGATACACAATATTGGCTGAGTATTTTAAAAGTAAGCTAAAGACTGAATATACAAGCCACAGTTAAATTTTAAAAAGAACCCCACACAAACAAACCCAAACCCAACACCATTTTTTACAGGTGCTGATCTGTGGAAATTTTAAGGGAATGAAAATCAAACCTGGCTCTATGGGAAAGCCCTCTCCGGGGTATGATGTCAAGGTACTGTACATCTGGTCACTCTCTTTCTGTCTTGCAGGTAATCACTTTCCATTAAAGAGGCATGAAAGCCTTTAATGTGACTTTAAGGTGTGAAAACACAGAGTTGTACCGTCATTCAGCAGGGAATGAGAGAGTAAAGAAGTGCATGGCACTGCCCTAAACTGAGTGTGCAAAATAAGCAACTGGACTTCCCTCTTGCACCATCCTCCCCAGCAGAGCTGACGGCCCGCTGCCAACCGACTGTTAGATACCAAAGGCTAAGGCAGTGATTGATAGAAATTAAATTGTTAAGGCAGAGTGGGAGTGAATGTTTCCTGGCGATAACAAAACTGCTGAAACAAATTCTAGTACCAGATCAATTCACAATATGGCTTAAGATTTTTAGTATATTTCTTTCAGTTCTTAAGCTTCCTCACCCCATTACTTATGATCCTCCCCGGGGTCTTACTGTCTTCATTACGTGTTTGCACAGAACTCGGCATTCCTCAGGTAAAAGACATAATGCAAAGTACAGGGGATTAGTAATAATCTTACACTTCAGTTGTCAGAGTGAGACCCTCTACTGCTCCAAATCATTTCCCAATAAAATACATAAAGTACTTTTTTAAAAGGTGCACCAAAATTTTATAATCTTTAGAATCTTAACTTAATGCTTTTTAATTTGGCTCCAAGATAATAAAACTGTGTTTTGTTTATTTTTAGATTATAGATGAAAACGGTAATATTCTGCCTCCAGGAAAAGAAGGAGATATTGCCATCAGAGTAAAACCTACGAGATCGCTTTTTCTTTTTACTTGCTATGCTGTAAGAATACTTCTACAGTTAGAGTAGACATCCTGTTAAATCTCCATCACAAGGAATCCAGTGCCCCGTTTCATTTGCATATACTCTGCTCACTGGTCTGAAAACCTGTGGGGAGGAAAGAGGGATTTACATTTTTTTCCTGCACATGCTTGGTCTAATTATACAAACAGTGAGATTGTTGGTGAGATTGTCCTGCCTAGCAAGTTAAAATCCACTTGCTAGGCAGGACAATCCACTTTCTTTTGATTGTTAGTTTCTTAATATAAAGGAAAATGTTTGAAGGACCCCCAGATCCCAAAATACTCTTTGGCCTAAGGGCTAGAGCTCCCATCTGAGAAGCGGGACACTCTTCAAATCCCTTCCCTCCAGATTTGAGCATCAGGGAGCGTTTCATGCACAGCAAAAGATTTCAGGTTTTTTTTTGCCATGGCTAGAATTTCCAGCCCAGCAACTGGTAGAACAAATGCACAGTGCTCTCAGTTCTGACACCAGGAAACCTTATTAAATTTTATGGGTAGTATCAGCCTATAATCAGGGCTTCTGAGCAGCACCAAGCATGCGGGAAAGGACCACCATACATACTGCCTAGAAAAATCCTTGCAGAAATCAGTTGCACTTGCTGTAGAAAAAATGTTTATCAGTTGCTCTTATTAATTACACTGTGCTGAGCCAAAACTTTTCTGGGGGTGAAAAAAAAATATCTCAGGATAGGAGATGCTAGAAATACAAAAGAAAATATCATTAAAGGATAATAATCTAAAAGTGAATTCTTAGTTCCATAAGCCTCCATATTTTTGAAACTTTCAGTGGTTCCTATAGCCATGGGGTATAATATAATGAGTTTAAAATTTTAAGTCTGTGACATTTATTACAATTTATGAATTTTATAGCTAGTTTTGTAGCTTAGTAATGATGAATTAATAATTTTCCATTAATAATGTCCCACTTGAATCCGATGCACATGACCACAGCATGGACCAGTCTGAAAAGCTGAAATTTTTAAATATTTGACTGCACCGTAATTTATATGCTAAATATGTTAGAATGCAATTTCATGTAGTTTTCAAGTAAAATGCAATTTAATCCTTCCTAGGATGATCCAGAGAAAACAGAGGCGACAATACGTGGAGACTTTTATGTCACTGGAGACAGGGGAATTATGGATGAGGAAGGGTACTTCTGGTTTGTTGGAAGAGCTGATGATGTCATTAATTCTGCTGGGTAATTTAAGCCTGATTAACAATAAATCCTTAAACTTTAATAACATAGGTGATTCAGATGTGAAGTTATGTTTATGTGTTATCAGATACAACTAAAAGCCATTTCCTCTGTTTTAAAGGTACCGTATCGGACCATTTGAAGTAGAAAGTGCCCTCGTGGAGCATCCTGCGGTGGTGGAATCAGCAGTTGTCAGCAGCCCAGACCCCATCAGGGGAGAGGTGAACAAGTTAAACACACTTCTATATTTAAGTAGCTTTGTGCATACTGGAGCTAATAAAGCCCAGCTTTCAAGGGATATGTCTATCCAGGGATTTGTTTTTCTTTTTTTTTAAATTAAAACTAAATAAATTCAAGTCGGCATTTCTACTCTATCAGACACTGAAGAACCCACACAGGAAAAAAAGACCCCAGGGCAATTGCCCCAAATCCCATATAACAAAAGCACCATTTGAAGCTTTCCCTGTCATTGAAATACTTAGTTTTTTGCCTTAAATGTATATGAACTGCCTGCACAGTCCAGATTGATAGTGAACACCCACAGACTTTAGCAAAGCTTTCTGTAGCTGCCCTATACATTGCTCTGTAAATGTTTGGTTGAAGTTTCAGATCTTACTGTTGTGTAATACTATTTCATTGGCATTTAAACCATTGCTCCCATAACTTCTTTAGGTAGTGAAAGCCTTTGTTGTTTTAACACCTGACTACGCTTCACGTGATCCGGACAAAGTGATGAAAGAGCTACAGGACCATGTTAAGAAAGTTACTGCTCCGTACAAGTATCCTAGGAAGGTGAGTACTCAAATGCCCAAATAATTTTCACTACCGTTAAAGAGTGGGTATTAACTGGTATGTGGCTTATAAACCTATGCTGCTGAGGTTAAGAAAATGTTAAATTTTTGGTACACTGTATTTTATGACATATTGTAATTTCCTCCCTTTCTCAATAGATGGAGTTTGTTCAACAGTTGCCAAAAACTATTAGTGGGAAGATCAGAAGAAATGAACTGCGCCAGAAGGAGTGGAGAAAGGATTAAACGTACTTGTTGCTTTTTTATGGGACTTTTTACAAAGTAAGATTGCAGATTTACACAGTAACACAGAGTAAAAGGTTTTCTACTATGTTCTTCTTAGTTTAGGTTTGAATGAATTCGTAGCTGATTCCTAGGTGCTACACTAATAGTACAAAAGCAGAGAGACTGATACAAATTAAATGGGAAACGCATGTAGTCAAGAGCACAATAGGTGATGGGTGTTAAATAGTTTATTTAACAAACTGTCACCAGCATTTTATCTTTATTGCTATTTAATTTAAAGGATTATAAAAACCCAGTAAGACATTAAGAGAAAACTGTTTCTTCAGGAGTCACTAAGTGCGACAAATTAGAAATACATTTTAAAAGTTATTATTACAAATATATTAGAAAAAAGTGTAAATAAAATCTCTATCATTAAAATGTTTAAGAACTGGACTACTAAAGAATTTAAAATACATGATAAAGCAGAAATTTAAGCAAAATTTAATAGCAACAGCTGCTCACACTTTAATTTTTTAAATTAGCACTTAGTTTTATCTAGTCTCTCATGCTTCATTAATGAGATACTTTATGATATATTGATATTTTTGCATGCTTGAGCAATTTGCATTTCTATCTATGTTAACCAAGCAGTGTCATTTTTGTCCCATTCTCAGAACTTATAACTGACATCATTTAACTGTCCTGTTTATATTAAGCATGATCATCTTACTGAACTTAACTTTGGACAAAAAAAAAAAAAAAAAAAAAAAAAAAAAAAAAAAAAAAAAAAAAAAAAAAAAAAAGTACATTTTCAAGTTCTCATAGAGGGTCTAAGACAGAAATGTTTTTTGTTGGAAGAATTTCCTAAATTACTAGTGCAAGTTCCAAGAGAGGTTGAAGAATCAGCATTCAGGGTGAGAGCACTAGATTTCTGTTTCAGAAGTGCATATTCCCACTTGAAGTATCCACAACCTTTCTTATTACCTTCACGCTTCCCAGCAGGACAACAAAAAAATGCTTTGCCATGATTTGGACCAGCATTTGACACATACAGTTTTTTAGCCCTTCGACCACAGTTACACAGAGGGGGAGTTGGTTTTCCATTTTTCAAAGCTCTGACAGACTGATTGAAATTGGCCATGGAGTTCAGAACGGCAGGAGACACTTTGGGCAAGTTGGAACTTCTTAAAGGTAAGGAACAATCAAACGATGCAGTTTTCTCGTGATAGACAGCAAAAGACTGTTTTTTTGCTGGTGGAAACATTTTTGGACTAGTTGGCTTTCTTTTAGGCACCTCTGAAGGAGTAGAATAATTTCCAGTTGATGCTGATTGTGCTGGAATAGCATTTACCTTTGCAGATGGTAGCTTAAAAGCTGAAAAATTTGAAGTCTGCCTTTGTACTGTTTCTACATTATAGATAGTAGTATCAGGACTTTTGTAAATGATAGATTTCAGAGGTTGCACAGGTGTTACAGTTTTCTCCAAACGTTGATTATCTGAACTCACCACAGCTGATAGTTTCGGAACTGTTTTCTCTTCAAACTCTGTTAAAATGTCTGTACTTGAGTCATCTTTTACTAGAACAGAGTCTGAATTTTGTTCATCTTGAGATTCTGGTATTAAAGCGACATCTTCCCAGTCAGTCAGCAGCGATAAGCAGTCAGAACTAGTACTGACGTGCTCGTTGGAGATGTTAACTGAAGAGATGGTAGTGGAGACGAGCACTAGTGGTGCCCCCTGTGCTGCAGGGCTGTGTCTGGCTGGACCCAGGGGCTGCCCGGGGCTCAGTCCTTGCCAAGTGCCTGTTGGTACCACACTGCAGGAGCGCTGCGCCTGCTCGAGGGGGACAGGAAATCTGTCAGTGGATGCTGTTAAAGAGCTTTGGGTTTGAGCGTGTAACTCAGTCCTTGAATTGCTGCTAGGTACAATGTGGACATCTGCAGAGGAATCACTGCAAGTGGTCTGTTGTTCTTCAGTTTCTACATTAGAGTTTATCTTAGTTCCAGCAATACTGTTGTGTTTTTTCTCAGCCGGAGAGTTTGTTTCGCAAGTTCCATCTCTAGATGTTTCAGGTCTGCTGTTACTTCCCAGTGGAGTCCTGTCAGGGAAGTTTACAGTCAGTGATCTGGAAATTGAATTATTCTTCAGCTGTGCCTAGGGAGTCCGTAAACAAAAGGATATTTTAGAAACTGAATACCCAGAAGATTTAGGAATCAATGGACAAAATTAATAAGTATATCAGCCTAGGGATGTTCTGTTCAATTCATAGTCAAGGTGCTGGGTTTATTATTTGAATCACTCACCTTTCGTCTGCATTCCAAGCTACAAAGACCAGGCTGGACGGGGCTTTGAGCAACCTGGCCTAGTGGAAGGTTTCCCTGCCCATGGCAGGAGAGTTGGCACTAGATGATCTTTAACGTCCCTTCCAGCCCAAACCGTTCTGTGATTCTATGACTAAAGCAACTAGAAGGGAAGATATGAAGTAGTAACTAACCTTGTCCAAAGATTTAGTGACCTTCAGCACACATCCATCACAAATCAGCCTCCAAGCAAGACGGGCAGTATTCCGAGAATCATCCAACCCTTCGAAAGTATGGTTATATTAATGTCTTCTTTTTAAACTACTACTGGGGCTAGTTCTTACTAGAGGAAAAATGTAATCTAGGTAAGCCTTACATAAATGACAGGGATTTACAGAACTCTGACACATAGTTACCTAGTTTGAAAAATGGGAAGCAGAAGTGAAAAATTCCAAAAAATTCCCTGTGCTGAAACATCTGAAGGACCAATACATAGAGCTGAACATATAGCCACAATCTTTAAAATCCTTGCTGTGTTTTATTAATCATTAAAAAAAAATCATACTGTGCTGATATTCTCTTACACTAATACGCTGTCCAGAGCTATCAGGCAAAATCAAGTTTCCTTATCCTTCCTCTGCCTCTTTTGTTTTGCACCCTAGCAATTCAGAAATTGGTCTTGTTGAACATGCACTCAATGGCACTAGGAGAGATTTCAGAAATAACGCATGAGGTTAGAAATAACAAATTCTGATCAATGAAGCATCTAGCCTTTCTTATTTTGATGTTTTTGTTGGACAGAACATTGCATAACCTGGAAACAATATTTACTATTTATAGTAACAACTAGCTATTACTAGCTGCTTTAGTTTAGCTAATTAAAGCTAAATAGCTACTATTTAGCTTTATAAATGTATATATATATTAAAATGAGGATCATCATATCATACTTACCAGAATGTTCCCGTCCTGCAAAAGCTATCCCCAAATCCTGCAAAGCACCACTTAGCCCTTTAGGCTTCCTATTGTAGAAGGCCTAAGGAAAAAAACAGGTGCTTAACATAAAGCATTTCAAAACCTCTTCTTAGTGAAGTGAAAACCATTTCAGAAATACCACCTTATGAATAATAATTCTCACAAGGCAATTGTACAAGTCAGGTATCTTCATTTTACAGTCAGGATAAATAAGCCTAAGAGCATAGGTGACTTACCCAGTAAGAAATTAGAATGGAAAGAACCATGAATCCCTTCTTTCAGACTTAAACTAATCCATTCTGTCTTAGCTCTGGAGTCATTCATTTGCACTTTATGACTTACAATGCTGAAGGCCTTAAGAGCGCAACATTGAAGAATACAACTATAAATAACACCTTGAGATGTTTAAACTGTTGCACATTGCAAAAGCATTAATATATTTGGCATAGGTATAAATTCTTTTTAAATGAGAAAAAGTGGGTATTGCTACTCGCTCCCAGTATCTCATTTGATCACAAGAAAGAGGGGATATTCACACCGTTTATCTTTGGAGACCTAATTCTGCTACCTAGGTACAGAGCTGCAGTGTTGGCAGAGGCAGACTCCTGGATCACCCTTTGGAAGTTTCCTTGACTACAGAGGGGAAGGTGCACTGAGGTGCTGTGAGCCCCTAGGTTAGAACTCGGCTGCGGTGTAGACTGTGTAATAAAATACACATTCATTTTTTCAGTATTATTCATGCTATTCAGAATATACTTTCTAGTCGAAGCGCAGTTGACACGCTAGACCTTTAAGTCCATCTAAGTGGATGAGGATGACTATTTTCTATGCAGCAATGTAAGGCAGCAGTAAGAGCACACAAAACTAGGGAAGTTAGGAAGCAAGCAGAGCAAAAGATGTCAGAAAAGAGCAGCTCAAAAACTTCTCCTAGGATTATCGTTCATTTATCTAACAACAACACCAGGTTGTTTTCCTAGCATTAAGAGTTCTATTAAAATTCACACAATTCTAGGGCATGCAATTTGTTATTGCGCTCTATCACACAATTCTAGGGCATGCAATTTGTTATGTTCCACAGCATGGAAAGAAAATAAATGGGTTTACTCTGGTCGCTGGAACATACAGTATGGGCTTGTAAACTCAGATAGTTTGCCTTTGAGATGATAATATGGGCATAAATGTTTCACAGTCTATCAGTCTTCTCACCCTGTATGTTGCTTTGAGATCAATCCAGGAATTTAAAATGTCAGGTTTTCGCAGCTGCTTCCTTTTACACTCATAGTGCAAACACACACCAAGGTCCCAGTCTGCACAGGAAAACACAAATAATCCATCACTAAAGGACTGGCCTAAAATCTACATAAACATGGCTTAAAATCTCCTTAAAGGTTTTCGCAGCTGCTTCCTTTTACACTCATAGTGCAAACACACACCAAGGTCCCAGTCTGCACAGGAAAACACAAATAATCCATCACTAAAGGACTGGCCTAAAATCTACATAAACATGGCTTAAAATCTCCTTGATATCAGTGACACTGATATACTAGTAGCATCCTGTGTAAATTACTTCATGATGGGTAAAGATCTCAAAAGACCTTATTAAATCATTTAGACACATTAAGAATCGTGACACAGTTCACTTTATGTAAAGCAGAAAAATGTAACCGTGTCAGGCCCTGGAGACAAAGACGTAGTGAACACATCAGGATTCAATGGATTTCATATTTTCAGCCACATCTTTAGAACCTAAAACCAGGATTGACTCCCTACAAGTGAAGATGCAACCCCACTAGCACCACCAAATGTTCACTTTTTAATGTGCATTATTCCAGAGAAAAAGCAAACAGAAATTTTATTTACCCGTCCAAGTCACAAAGGTACAGGGTTTTGCTTCTGAAGCAGAATGACTCGGAATATCTGAACAGAATGTAACTTTCTTCTCCTTTTGTATCTTTTGAATCCATTTCAAAAACTGTGATAAACAAATGTTTAGAGGGACTGCTTCATCAACCTGATTCTTTATGAAATAGAACAAGAAATACGTATATGTTAGTATGCACTGAAATTCATCTGAGATTTGTTTTTCTTTAGGTCTTTAAAAGCATGTTTAAAAAAATAATGAATAGCATTTATAATGCTGTAAAATAATACTAAATAGCAATTATACCTGTGTTATGCCAGTTAGTTCTGTACAAAATTCAGAGAGAATAGGATGCTCCTGGGGCTGGACATACGTGTGGAATTCAGATTCAATCTCTCCTGTTGAAGTGTTTAACAGGACTGCTGGAAATTCAACTGTGACGAAAACAAAAGGAGAAAAACAAAAAAACCACAAACAACACAAAACACCAAGCCAGAAGGGTTAAAGCTGTTCACAGGAATTGTTCCGTTTGTTTTAAATGGGTGTTGAAATGTCAGGAATTGGAAGGAACACAGTGAAATAAGTAAGACATGGAACTTCTTTTTGGAATGGGTCCAGGGGAGGCCACAGAGATGCTGTGAGAGCTGGAGCCCCTCTGCTGTGAGGACAGGCTGAGAGAGATGGGGTTGTTCAGCCTGGAGAAGAGAAGGCTCCAGGGAGAACTTGGAGCCCCTTCCAGTACCGAATGGGGTACAAGAGAGATGAGGAGGGAGTGAAACAGTAGGGGTAATCGTTTTAAACTGAAAGAGGGGAGATTGAGATGAGATATGAGGAGAAATTTTTCGCTCTGAGGGTGGTGAGACACTGGAGCAGGTTGCCCAGAGAAGCTGTGGCTGCCCCATCCCTGGAGGGGTTCAAGGCCAGGCTGGATGGGGCTTGGAGCAACCTGGTCTGGTGGGAGGTGTCCCTGCCCAGGGCAGGGGGTTGGACCTGGATGATCTTTAAGGTCCCTCCAGCCGAAACTATTCTGTCATTTTGCGGTAATGAAGACACAAGGTGTAGTGATGCCGCCTGTGACCTCCAGCCCCCGGCCGCCCTCCTCTCCCCGTCCGCGCCCGCCCGCTGCTCCGCACCAGGCCCAGCCGCCTGCCGACCGCAGCGCCGCCGCCTCAGCACCCGCCGTGCTGAAGGGGCCGCCTTCCCCCCGCCCCGCTGCCGGTACCCGGGCCCCCCTCAGCGCCTCGACCGCCCGGACGCTACTCCCCCCGGCGCTTCATAGGGAGGCTACTTCCCCACCCCGGTCCCTTCACGGGGAGGGTTCCCCCCCGCACCTGGCCAGGCGCTTGGTGGCCATCTCCGCCCTCAGCCGCGGGCGGGTGGGCAGCGACCACCCTGGGCCGGCCCGGCCGCCATTTCAAACCTCCCGCCGGCAGCGGCGGTACCGCCCCTATCCGCGCTCTCGGCGGCTCGGCTGCTCTGGCCTTGCCCGCAGGCAGGCGCAGGTAGCCGCTTGCCGAGGCGGCGTGTTTCCAGGTGGTCGGAGAGCGCGGCGTGGGGAGGTGAGACCGGACCGGCCTCGGGGCACCGGCGGAGGAGCGGGCGGCCGGGGATCGGCCCCACGGCGTCAGGGCTGCGGACGGTCTCCCCTCCCGGTGCTGCCCGGAGGAGCCCCGGCCGTTGGGGCAGGCGCTGGGGCCTGGTCCTGAGGGGCCCGCCAGCCCGCCGTGAGGGGCCCGCCAGCCCGCTGTGAGGGGCCGTGGCAGCATCGTCCCGTGGGGCTTTCCCGCAGGCCATGGTAAAGGCCGGCTGCGTGAACGGGCTCAAGAGGCCCGCCGAGGGCGCGGGGGGGCGGCCGGCGCCTCGGAAGAGGAGGAAGGCGGCCGGCGGCGGCCAGGGCTCGGCCCCTGAGGTGAGGAGCGGAGCGGAGCGCGGCCGGGCGCGGGGGGGAGAAGCCTGCGGGCCCGCGGGGGTGGCGATTCCTGCATCAGGCGCGGGGCTGCTGGAAACTCCGCTAAAACGCGTTTCTCCTGGCCGTCCGCTGGTTTGACGAGCTGGAGGGCTGGCTAAAAATCATACCTACGGATAACGGCTTAGTCTCCGCTCCCAGGGGCGTGGAAATGAACTCACTGGGAGCGTTAAGCGTTTACATTAAGGAATTTTGAAATTTTATCGTAAATAAAATCTCCAGCATCGATTTTTCAAAAAAAAAAAATAAGTAGATCTTGAAAGGCGCGTGTGTCTGCTCAGCACATTCACACCTGAGGGATGCAGATCAAGTCCAGCCTCATGGTGAGACCTGAGGGGCCCTCACAGCCGCCCTGGGGCCCAGCCCGGGAGGAGCCTGCCCTCTGAGGCCGGTCTTATTTGCACCTGGTCAGAGACTGAAGGCCCCGTGGTTGGCAGGTGGCCTTTGCTTGGTGAAATTAAACTTTTGCTGTTTGGGTAGGTTTGTTTGTTGGGTTGTTTTTTTGCAGAGCTCTAATTAGGTTATATTGAAAACAGCGGTGTCATTACTTACGTGTCTAACTTGGCACGAGAGATGAGGGACTAGCAGTTACAGCACCCTGTGTTATTATTACCAGGTGGTTCTGAACCACTGGAACCTCAAAGGTTGTCACCTCTGTTTAGCCTTCGTACCCAGTGACAAATGGCTTTAAAAGTGCTCAGTCCCACGTGGGCAGGCTCTGTCAAAATTAACGAGCACAAGGCTTGTTAGCGTGGCGGGGAAAACACAACTTCTGGTCGTGGTTTCAGTGAATCATAGAATAGTTTGAGTTGGAAGGGACCTAGTCATCTTGTCCAGCTCCTCTGCAATAAGCAGGGAGAAATCCTGTTTATTCTGTGGGATTTGATATTCTGTAGTGTTCGATGGTCTTTTTTCTTTTCCCCGTATGCTGTGATGTCTTTTCATCATTTAAAAAGAGTATCTTTCAAATTTTTACAGATCAAAGGAGCTCAATTGGAACAGGCCATATGGTCAGTGCCAGTCTCCAAAATCATGCGTTTATTTGCTGATTGGCCTTTAGGAGAAATTGTATATTCAGACCTAAAGAACTGTTGTGTTGAACCGTGTGGTACAGTCTTTGCTCCATCTCATCTCTTCCTGCAGTTTCCTTGGATGAAACACTTTTTTTCCTGCAGGGGTCAGCAAACCCATCTGCCAAAGCAGATCCCATAATGTACATGAAGTAAGTGGGTTACAGCAAAACCTTAGATGAACTGGCAACATATAACACTTGTATAAATGCCCAAAGCTCTACAGCAGCAAGTGGGTGAATGATTTGAGAGAGCAAAAAAATCATGTTTGCAAATCAAGTAACTTTCAGTCTCCTTACTACATATATCTACTTACATTAATCTTTATTAAATAAATCTTTGAAGTTAGAGTACCTGGGTTACTGACATATTGATAGTAAACTAAATATTAAAGTGTGATCTGAAAGGAAACTTTTGCCTGTAATAAAACTGGAGAGTTATTTTAGATGTGGTTGATTGTATCCAAATAGTAAATAGTTTCCTTTTACTGTATAATTCACTTAATTCTCCATTAACCTGTGTAACTATGTAAAACCTTTCTTTACTAAAAGTTTTCCTTGTTACAGGAAAAGTCATCTTGCTTGTCAGCAGCTTTATTTGGCGAGGACTGCGAAATCAGCCGTGACCAGCTGTATGAGTTGTTAAAGTATGCAGCTTTGGGAAAATGCCACAATGCAACACAGCCCAGGTACAACACATTCATATTTGGGAACCAACCCTGTCTGGTGTCTCCACGGGTTGTGAAAACTTGCCTAGAGGCATATTGGCCATGCTGGCTTTGGAATCCATGCAGCACAGTCACCATAATGACAGCCTGTGTTATGTAGATGCAGTCGTTAGGCTTGGCCAGAGACCAGAATTCCTCTCCTGACAAAAATTCTACCATTTCTTAGTTCTGTTTCATGCAGTTATCAAAAACTATAAACAATTTTGTGGAACAGAGGAAGCTTCGCACACTGAGAAACAAAATACTATTTAAAAAATACTAACACAACACAAAAAATATTAACAGGTTTCATGTCGGATATAATTGAAACAGAGTGTTCTACAGTGTTTGCCCTTTTTTAGGGCAGCTTCTCAGCAATGGAAGGGAAAGACTCAGGCAGCCAAAATATGGTGAAATGTAATGAATCTTGTAATGAAACTCAAGGTAAAAATGATGCCACTTTAGATTTTTAGCAGCGAATAGAAAATTCTTTTATTAAACTTTTTTGGATGCCTTAATTCACTAGACTGCATCGCTATGGTTGAAGTTACTTTGTATTCACCTTCTGATGCATATGTATAAATGTCTTGAAATGGTACTGCAGCAGAATTTTGCTATAACTCACTTTTTTTCTGTTTCCCCTATTATGTTGCTTCCAGGAATATGTGGCTGTTTGAGATAAGCTATACAGCCTCTTCTCATTGAAGTTATTTGGCACTTTGCCATTCACCGACTTAAAAAGCTGGGCTGGTTCCAAGTTTGTTTTTAAGGGTGTTGGATAATGGTTTTGCTTTGATTTTTAATTTTTGTTTTTGTTTTTTAAACTGCAGCTGGTGCCGTATTTATCGCCGGAGCCACCTGGCTGGGGTTGTGGTTATTGTTCTGCCTGAAATGAGCCAACTCCATTTCTACAAATTCTATTTGCAGTTCAAACACCTCAGAAGAGTGTTCCGGCATGTAAGTCCCCTGACTGTATTGCTGTCTTCTAAACTTCTTCCAGTCCTGAAACCATGTCCCAAGGATTAATAGCTGCTGGAAAAATACTGCCTTTTCCAATAGGACGTGGCCGTATTTGACTCTCAAAGCAAGCTAATGAGAGGATCTGTTTGTAAGCTTTGTCAGCTCAGAACAAAGGCTAAGGATTTGATATTAGAAACAGAGGTTTTCAAGACATGTCTTTGAAGCCTCACCAGGTGAAACATGTGCTGATGTTTCAGTCCTCTGACTGTTATGCTTCCTGCATCTTCAGGATGCCGGTGAGTTTACAAATATCTCAGTTAATTTCGAATTTACTCTGAGTGAGTGAGGAGACTCTCAATAGTTACGCTGTTTCCACTGGTTGAAGAATCTCACTTTTACTATTTGCACTTTATGTCAAGTTTTTCCCATTTCCCAAAAAGATTATTAATAGAATTATTTTAATATTCCAAGTTACAAGCAACATTTTTGAAGGCAGAAAGAAGCACTTCGATTCAGACTTCTAGAGAACTCTCCCTGAACTGCAGCAAATACAAATCATAACTTAACTGGAAAGTTTGGAACTTGCTTTAGTTTCTATCAAAGGAAGTCTTAAGATTTGCCTTCTTGATCGTACCAGGCAAGGCAAATCTGTCCCATGGTACAAAGAATCTTTATTGTCTGTCATTAAAACAGGTTTGGTTTGTGTTGGGTTTTTATTCTTCCTTGAGAAAACACCAAACATATTTCCACTACTTTGTTATCCATCCTTCTCTAAATTTGGCTGGTTTAGGGATCAAGAAACATCTAATTTGCTTCATATGTCTTCTGTTTCAAAGTCTGTAACACATCTCTTTTTCTAGAGATTCACATTAACCCCTTCCGCCAACTTCCTGGCCAGCCTGTATGGAGAAGGACCAAACCTGAAACCTCAAAACACTGCACAAGGTATCTTGCTGGGTTTTGCATCATCTCTTAGAACCACACTGATTCACTTTCAACAGTAATTTATGACTTTGCCTCCTGTGCAGTCCCAGAGTGCTGCTATGGTAAACTTGCTTACCAAGGAAAGCATACAGTGGCTTAAACCATGAGACTGGTTCCCCTGACTGCTTCAGTCACTCTCTCTTGGTCACAAGCAAATGCAAAAAGCAGAGAGAAAGTTTTTAACATGTTTAATCCAAAATTCTGATTCTTTACCCATTTTGTGATTATTTTATTCTAAGATGTATCTAATAAAAGATACAGAAACATAAATTAGATTCAAGCTAAGTAGTGACTCATTTCTTCTGGTATGTTAACAACAGATTTCCTATGTTTATACTCTTTATAGAAGTGATTGTAATCCAACAGGCTTGTACAAAACCTGCAAGAGACTACAGCTTCACTGAAATTGTTAAAGTGTAACAAAGAATCTTGAATTCAAGTCCTAAATGGGAGAATTGCTGTTACTTTCAGTGTATTGACAAAGCCTTCTAGCATCATGACTGTAAACCTACTGCACAGTCACAGATCTGAGATGTCAGGTATATTTTCTTTTAAGTGTAATCTGCAGAGAATCACCTATAGGATAATTTATCTTTACACACCCCTGGATTCTGGTGTCAGTGCAGTGATTGCTTCTCTGTGAGCCACGCTTAGAGCACATTTTCTCCTGATAACGCTTACAGGAAGGAATTCCACAGAGAGGGTAGAAAAGAAAAGAGAACTTCTTTTATGGCTTACATGAAGTAACAGATGATTATGTTGTCAGGCTTATGAGGCAAGTTTGTTCCCTTGGTTTCTGAAAGGAACGCAGGACTGACTTGCTTCTGAATCAGCCAGCAGTGTCAGTAGCTGAATTGGGAGTAAGATTAAAGTATGCTGAATATCAAGCATATTATACATAGTATATACACTATATATAGTATTGTGTATTTATAATTTATATAGTGTGTGTATGTGTATATATATACACACAATAAATGGGGTATAAACTGGTGATAGATGTCTGTGTGTCTCTCTCTCTTTCTCCAGTTCATTGTTCTAGGTAGTGTTTTCCTTTGTAATGGTGTAGCCTCGTAGCTGGCAGACTACTGCAGAAATCTGTCTGCAAGTAGGGAGGGCTGTCTGAGCTTGACAGATGCTTCTGTATTTTACAGGTTTGACTTCCACTAGCAGTGAATGTACTTCTAAAAGCTCAGACTCACAATGTGATCCCATCATTCGGAAATATGGAGGAAAAAAACGAGGCCTTACTAGCTATATTCTAACTTTAGAAGAGCAGAAAAAAAATGACTATCCCACAAAAGGTCAGTTTTTGAAGGCATTTGTTTGGCTGTTTTGTGTTGAGGGGGTTTTTTTTGGTCACAGTTAGTGATATGTTTGGACATAAGAGTTTTAGAAGAGAGAGGTCTGTTTCTTACTGGTGGGTACCTTTTCATTCCAGGCTCCCCCAGATGCAGTGGCTTCGTGTGCACAGAGTGTAACCAGCAGAGGACAGACAGCAGCCCCCTCTTCGGTCTGGACTGTGAAATGGTAAAAATAAATGTGTGTCCTTACAAAGTATTTGCTGAACCACTTCTGATATATTAATATCTGCTGCCAGTCCCTTCATTGATGGCACCAGCGCTAAATGCAGCCATGGGAAGGACTGGGGAGGGGGTTCTGGTAACAAGACAGAAATGGTGAGCAGTGCAGCAGAGACCCAGTTCTGCATTGGCTGTCAGAGCAGTGACCCCTGAGGCTGCTGTGGAATCCCTCCTCCCAGCCCTCCCCAAGGTCTGGGAGAGGAAAGACTCTTCCCTATCACACATCTTTCCTGTAGCCATCACAGTTCCTCTGGCAGCACGCTGTGTTGAAGACCCTTTAGGGCAGTTTTGACCTTGCACAGATGCCTATTCAGTATCAGCATTGAGTAACTAATGATACAACCTGGGCTCTGCTGTTAAGTTGTGCATCTTCTCTGGTGAAGATGCTCTCAGTGGCAGCTCTGCAGGGCAGAGCACAGATCAATTCTGTGAAATCAGCCGTTCTGTAGAATGTTTTTTTTGTGTGTGTTGTGCTTGCCTATGTGTTTGCTGTGCTTATGGTGGGCATTTAACAATTAAAGTGAAGCATCTACAGTATAAAACAACTAGCTATGAGTGGTAGATCTCCGAGTTGAGTAGCTCCTCAGTAGTGATGCTGGCCACAGCCACATCAGATGTCAGCTAAGGTTCCTGAGTGGCAGCATCACACTGATTCAACAACTGCCTCTGCTTCTTCCTGACAGTGCCTGACTGCAAAAGGGAATGAAGTCACTCGTGTCTCTTTGGTGGATGCACAGGGTCGATGCCTCTTGAATGAACTAGTCAGACCTGAAAACACAGTCGTGCACTACCGCACCAGGTGACTTGCACAGAAGTTTCTTATCTCCTCCTCTTTAAGAGCTGCAACCCTTTCAAATTAGGCCTGTTATACAGGACCTTGTAGAAGGCTTTGGTTTGCACAGATGCTACTGAATTTCACTCAGTGTTAGGAATACAGTTCTTGTGATGTGATTAGAATAACCAACATTACGTATGCACTCTATATGTGTACACTCTCTGTGACATAGTGCCCCTGTGGCTACTTAGCAGAAGCATTCCCATTCTGCAGTGTTCCAGGAAAAGTTCTGTTACAAATTAATGATACACAGTGCAAGTTACTCTTTACTGCTGGCTATAAAATAAGATGGAGAGTAGGAGTACAGGATTGCAGTCTGCATCTCTGTGCTCTGGAGCTAAGTCTGCTCATCTGTGAAAAATGAACAGAGCAGCTTATCAGCTTGTACTAGGGCTGGGCTCAGTATTGTAACAAAAGCAGGCAAAACTCGAGCTTTGTCTTCTCCAGAACTTTGCCTGGCTTTGTCCAGGAGGTGACAATCCCCTCAGGTTACTTGGAAGCATCTCCTTCCACCATCAGTCTTGCAGTATTTCCTTACCTGTGCTATCTGATGCTAAGAACTGCATCACTTAAGAATAAGTTATACTCAAGGGAGAGATAAACTTGTGAAACAAATGTGGTAGCACTCACAGCAGTTTAATATACCCGCAGTGTATGCCCTTATGTTGGAACAGAAAGCAGAAATGGCATTCTGTCATTAGTTTGTATTTTACATGCTCTAGTTGTAATACTCTCCAGCAGACGCTGTTGCTAATGTGTTGCACCTCATCCAACTTTGTTTTGCAGATTCTCAGGAATCACAAAGGAAATGCTTCTTCCAGTGAAAACCAGACTGTCAGACATCCAAACCAGACTAAAAAAAATGCTTCCCCGTGATGCAGTATTGGTGGGTCATTCTCTAAACAATGATCTTCAGGCTTTGGAAGTGAGTATACTTTTAAGAATATTTTTCCCAACCCTGTGGTACTGATTCAGACCTGAAAACTAAACAATTCCTCTTTTTATTAGTGAACATTTGTTAACTGCTTTTTATTATGAGTAGCCTTATGTCTGTAAGGATTTAAAACAGAAAGATTCTTCTTACATCTGTAAAACTTGCAAGGGGTTGTTCAGAACCAAAAAAGAAAGGAAGAGTCTGTCCAGACATAGATACAGTTGTGACAGAAGCTTTGCCTCTCTGCTTCAGCCAGATGCTCCTGATAGCTCTGTCATGGGAAGAACTGAAGTCCTTCCTGTATTTAATTTAACCGACCTAAAATGCTTGAATCATAATTAGTCTTTCTAACCCAATCTAGATCTTTCCAATAGAGTGTTAGAAAGGAGAGTAGGGCTTGTTTCATTATGCCCATCTGCTCTCTTGTTGTGGACCAGTTGTCTGTCAGTGATAAACTGGCAACTGAAATGAAAAGGCAGAGGCACAGATAACAATGGAGCTACTGCCCAGTTCTATAGGACTGCTGTTCTTAAATTAAACTGGTGTTTTCTCTCCTCCAGATGATCCACCCCAGTGTTATCGATACTTCATTGCTTTTTGCCAGAACTGAAGGTCGAAGATTTAGGCTAAAATTTCTAGCCAAAGCTGTTTTAGGGTAAGATTATTACTGTATTGGCATGGGAAATATTAGAAATTCTCATGGTGGGTCATAGGGTCTTGCTGTTCAAATATTAGAATTTTTTTTTTTTCCACTAAAATTCAAAAGAAAGGAGGAGGCTTTGATAAATAGATGTGGTAAAGAAGAGTTTACTGCCTGCTTGAAACATCAGGCAGCGTAATGGGTTGTCTTTGAGCAAGCAGGGACACTGTGACCTGGCCAGGTTTGAGTCCTCGCAACACTAGCTTTTCTGCAGGTCTGTAGTGTATGGAACTGTAGAGCAACAGAGACCCTCCAGCTCACACAAATCAGATCTGTTGCAATTAGCAAGAAAGAAAGGTTAATGTATGAATGTATGATTTACTGACTTAAATCCTATTCCTCAACCTCCTGGCTACCACTGGGTAGTTTGTTTTAGCGCTATAGTTCTCACCATTCACCCAGTGAGCATTAATACTCTGCAGCACCAAACTGCACTGAGCTGGAGGCCGCCTCCCTGTCTGTGTGCACATTGTGAGCTGGGTCATTGGGCAGGGAAGAAGTAAAATTAAAAATAGTCACTCATCATAGTACCAAGTATTAGCACTGCTACTGTCAAACCTGGTAAACAGTGTTTTGCTCAACATTGCAAAAACATTTCTTGTGGTAACTTTTGGGAATATTTCACAAGAATCCTGCTGCACAGAACTGAAATCCTTTGTGCAGAGGGGAAAGCTATTTTGCCCAAAAAGGACCCAATTTAGAAAAGACAGGATGTTGATCAATGTGGAAAAACAGATAACCTGCCTGTACACCTGATTTTGATGCCCTAGGAAGGAGATTCAGTGTGAACAGAAGCTGGGGCATGATCCTGCAGAAGATGCTAGAGCTGCTTTGGAATTGGCTCAGTTCTTTATTGAGCAAGGACCAGCAAAGGTAGCTATATCTAATTAAGATTTCTGTCCTTAATCACAGAGCATACAAGTTGTTGTGCTTATGAAGGAAAAAAACCATCCCTGGCCATCCTCTTGTTGATTTAAGAGAAAATGGAGCTGTGATAGAGGCCTCAGTTTTGGCAGCTTGTTGCTTTCAGCATATATCCAGGTATCTTAATAACCTGAGCATTACCAGTGTTTCAGTACTCAAACACTGATGTGAATCAGCGTTGCTGCTGGTGGTGTAGAGGGGCATTGGGTAAAGAAGGATTGAGACACTCCCAGCCTACAGGAATGCCTGTCATTTTTCCAGATGAAAGAAGTGAGAGACCTCGTATGTTGTGGCAGTGATTCAGCTGGTTTTATGAGTCTCTTGCTTGTGTTGTTGATTTCTGAGAGAAGTTTTTTGGAGATGATTGCTGGTTGATGCTGTGAGTGCTGCATGCTTGAAAATGACAACAGAAAATAATAAGGCAAGAAATTAATGTCTGTGTTTCTTCACTGCTGTGGAGTGTGCCGAGGTGACTCACAGAGAAAGCATTTGCTTTTTGGTTAGCTACAATTACCTGAGATGAAAGCCAACTGCTAATCTTCTTCCTTCCCCAAGGTAGCAGAACTAAACTTGGAGATGCTTCTGACAACTGAGAAACTGGCTGAAGTTTCACAGAAAAGAGCTGCATTACAGCCACAAGGATATAGGGGCCAGCAACAGTTGAATGAGCCTTCACATTTATCCAAACCATGGTAATAAGATTCTCAAATATGCATGTTTTTCCTTTAGTTTAATACTCAATAAAATGAAAGAAGTATGTTATGTTTTTCAGAAGCTATCAGGATCTTCAGAGAGACACAAAAAATCGTAGCATAGCACTGAAAACCTTTGAGAAGTTGCATCTTATATTTCACAAAGCATTTTCTAGGCTGCTTTTGATGTTGAGGACAAGAATATTATTTCAGATTTCTTTAATGAACTGTATAATTTTTCTCTTGACAAGCACTTCTTGAAAGCTTTTAATTCACCGTATTGATAACTCCTGTGATTCACAGCTTGCTTCTCTCTGCTAGTTTTTTAGAGTGCTTGCAGGTGACTGGCCAAAAACCCCTCCTTTTGGGCAGACAGGAACTAGACTCTTCTGGCCTGTGTCAGAGTAACCTGAGCACTTCAAACAAACAGGTGAGTGGGTTTGTCTCAGCCAGCATCAAAGTAGCTGAGAGTCCTTGTTCTGGGGGGTGGGTAGATGACTCCTATTTTAAAATGCTGGCTGACAGTACTGTTAGCAATAGTGTTAATACCAGGTTACCTAAATCCATTTTAACATTTCGGAAATAAGCTTTGATCCTCTACATCCTCTCATGATTCACTAAAGAAGAATTTCTGCCCGAGGGCTTCCTTGGACAATAATGAAAATTAAAGTTGGGAATTAAATTCAATAGCTTTGTTTCTGGTCCTTTGCAGTACAATTGTCTTCTACCTCTTTGAGTCTTTACACTCTTTTCTCTCCAGATTCTTCAGAAAGCCTTAGAAGATGTTCCCCTGTCCACGTTCAGTATCATTCAGTTCAGTTTGGGTCCAGAGAACATTTCATCTCGCCTTCTTGCTGAACTTCGCGAAAAGGTACTATTTTTTTTTGAGAATAGTCTTCATTGCTGAGCTTGGCAAGAGCCCTTTTTACATCTGGAGGCACCAAGTAGTTAGTTCCTTTGCTTTGTGAAGTTCCTTCTCTAATCTGTGTTCCTACAGGTGGGAAGCAAGCTGACTGACATGCTGACAATTTACGCAGGTCCTTTTGAAGAAAGCTTTTGCCTGAAGTCTGTGAAAAAAGAATTTGGGAGGTGTGGACCAATCCAGTCTCTGACAGTGGTAACTGAAACGTACCAGGTGAGCAGCACTCAAGGCAGTAAGCTCACTGACAGGCATGGAAGGCCCGAGTGAGCTCTTGGAAAGATACAGATTAGAACTGCTGAGATACCAGTTATTCTGTTTGGGGCTGTTTCTGGTAGTTTAGTCATCAGCTACACAACCATTCAGGGTATCTAAAAGCTGCTACACACAATGACAAGAATAAACACAGAGCATGTGGCTTAACTGTGCTGTTCAAGCTAGAGGCCTTTGAGCATTGGAGAAACCTAGATGCTTTTTCTCCCTCTCGAGAGAACTGATAGGCAAAAAGGTTGTTATTAATTGACGAGCTAATTGAAGACTGTTTTTAACAACTACTGTATGTGGAATGTTATATGTATTGCCCCCCCAAACCTTTTAATACTCTATTTGTAAAAGAAAACAAACCTTTATTGACACCTGACTTTTAAAAAGGGAGGGTTAATGCGTGTTATTGACAAGCCTGAAGTATCTTATCGTTCTGTTTCAAGCCCTATGTCTGTATCCAATACGAAGTGCTGGAAGCTGCCCAGCTTGCCGTGGAAAGCCTAAATGGAGCTGAGGTAGCAGGATCCTGTATTAAGGTAAACAATGCAATTAGCAAAAGCCTAAGTTATGTTTAGCATGGGAAGAGCATCCAATGTGTCTCTCTTAACATCTGCTCACAGCACAGCGTCTGGGCAAGTGCTGGCTGGTTGTGCTGTTACCATCTTCCTCTCCCTGGACAATTTAGAGCCACTGGCTGAAAAAAAATGGTGATAGCCCTCTTTTTTCCTTTCTGCCTCTCAGCAGAAGGGGGTACAGAAAGCATTCTGCCCTCCAACTGCAGTGTTAAGAGGAAGAGCCAAGTAACAGAGTGTTAAAATGCCATATGCAAAGTATGGGGTTCCTAATTTTATAGTGTTTCTGCATTACCAACATGATGTCTTTTCCTTTTTCGTGACTAATTAAGTTAGCCTTCGTTAGTTGTGTTTTTTTTCAAGGAAGGGAAACCAGCTTGTCAACTTTTGGAATGGGAGAAAATAATTAAAAATAGAGACTCAGAGCTGCTTGTGCTGACGTGCTGTGTTTCTCCTGCTGAATCCACCCCAGGTCCAGAGACCCGTCACTGCTGCAACGCTGGACTGTGATGTTCTGATACAGGAACTAGAACTGGATGTAGAGAACCAAGGTGTGATTTATGTGGCGGGTCTAAAGAAGTCACTAACAGAGAAGGACTTGCAAGAAGAATTCAGCCAGCTGCAAGACCTGGAAACAATGTTCCTGCCAAAGGATCTCCAGAGTGGAAAGCACTGGAACTGCTGTTTCCTCAGTAAGTAGCTTCATGGAGCAGTAGCCTGTTTATTTCCTTCAAATAAGCTCATTCAGCAGCTCTGAGGACTTTGCACAGACACAGCAAGAGCTACTCAAACTCATGTGCATTTAAAGTACTCCAGTAGAAGCATGTAGTGTTTGGAGGAGCAGTTTACAGCTAAATATTTAAAAGGAAAAAAGAGTTGCTTAAATAAAAAAAGAAGAACATTTTTACTTTAAAAAGTTGCAGGATAGTTCATTGGCTCCAGTACCTCAGTGTGAGGTCTGGCTATTGTGCAGCTTCACACAGACAAGTGATCACCTCTAAAAAGGTGAGGAGAAAACCGGATGAGCACAGATGCAGTTCACTGGCATTTCTCTAGCCTGATGTTTACTGGTAGCAAGATGAGGCTCAGCTTGTGATTTCGGTTTCTTGTCTTCCTCCTGCTCCACACCTTTAGCACTGCCCAACCGGTGCCAAGGTCCCTGCCAAAGCATGTTCCCCTTTTCTTTGTGTTTCAGAATTCCAGACATCACAGAGTGCTGTGGATGCCCTTGAAGTTATAAATGGCCGGAGCATGAAGGGCAGCAGACTAAGAAGTAGGAATGCTCTTGCTTCAGGTCACCTCTGGAGATGGATTTGGCAAATGAATCACAGCAATGGGAATCCAAGAAGAAACATCTCTTACAAGAAAACGCAGCAACTCTCTGACTCTGTGAGTTGAAGGCTATGCTGATGTTTGTTGCAATTAGGGAGAAGGTTACTGCCCTGGGTACCAGGAGTGGTAACTCTGAGGGTCTCCTTGTGCTGGAGCAGAGGCTGCCAAGGATCAGTTCCCACAAGGCACTTTGGAGAGGTATCAGCAAAATGGGGTGTTTGCAGGGCACTGTGTAACCTTCAAACTGTAGCTGCTCAGGGCAGGGAGTGATGCTGCACAGGAACAGAAGCCAACCTCTTGAGAGCAGGCAGCATGTGCAGGTGTAGCAGGGTGTATGGGAGTCAGCAGGAGAGGTGACTGGGTGTGTAGCTGTACAGGAAAGAACAGCTCTGGTTGCAGCTCTCATTTTTCCTGGAGGAAGCTGCGGTGCCATTCGAGTAGGGCTTGTGGGTCTCCCTGCCCTGCCAAACGCCAGCCAAGCTGTGCTGGCCTCACCTGCTCCAACCCTGACACTGCCTGAGGGTCAGTCACTTTAAAGTGTGATTGCTACAGCTCTACAGATAAATCGGGGATTTTAATGCTTATATTCTGTTATGCAGGAGCAGGATCTAAAGAAAAAGGTGCAGAAGTTAGACCACCATATCAAAAAGCTTTATAGAAGTCTGCAGAATAACACCCTGTGCGTTGTCCTCTTCCCTGGAGTGAACAGGTAACTTGCCTCCTATTTTGCAAAGACCCAAGGACAACGCATAGCCAAATATCTTTATCTTACTCTGTTAAAAAGTAAAACCCTGCACAAGGAAGTGCAAGCCTGAGAGAAGACCTGAAGAAGCTGTTGTACTCACTCAGGCTGACTTTCATGCTAGGCCAATAAAACCTGACCAGTAAGTTCTGCCCATAAGCCCTGCCTGATCCAGAACAAGCACAAGTGCTGAAAGCACTTAAGTAGTTGATTAGCAAAGCTGAGGTACACAGCCTTGATTAATTATACAGGTCTTCTCAGTTCATCTGTCTTCTCCTGTTTGAATTTTCAGCCTTACTGACAGCAAGGTAAGTTTTATGTGCTCATGAGAGAATCAAATAGTGTTTCTACAGCAGCCAGTTTTTTTTTAAGTAGTGTGGGTGAGGTTTGGTTTTATTTGTGTAAAACCAGCTAACTGCTGCAGCCAGGGCCCCATCTACCAGTTGTTGTCTTGTGATACCATGATGCATGTGCTTCAGCCATAGCTGATCAAGGAGGTGGTTCATGCCCTCATTCTTACCTGAGGGACACAACTGGGGAAAAGGGACACGTTGACCGAGTCCATAAGCTTTCATAGGAGGGGGCAAGTCCAAGAGTCTGAGTTGGGCTTCAGCACTACTCTCAGGGATGCTTCCCAATGGGGTGGGCTTCCTGCCTGACCTGCCAGTCGTTCACTGCTCAATTATTAACCAGAAAGGCTAAATCTTTCCCTGGAAAGGCCCTCGTTACTGAGTACATACTTATTTCAGCAGTTGTCTTTCCGTTCTCTCACTGTGTCACTGTTCAGCCAGTCAACTAAAGGTCACATCTACCCTTGCTTTTCTTCAGTTTACCTTCTATCCCTTGTGGGGACAGAAGACATACCCTGAAATAGAAGCAGGGAGACAAGAGCACTCAGCTGGGCAGCCAGGCACCCTCCCTCTTACTTGAAAGGCTTCCTGAGAATCATGATGCTGTACCATGCGCTGCACCAACAGTGTCCCTAGAAGGGAGATGCATCCCCAGCCAAGAGTAGATTTAGGCTTAATGCCAGTGACAAACCCTTTCAGCAGGTTTGTTGTGCCAAGAGCTGCTCTTGGTGTGAGTTGCTCTAATTGTTCAGGTTCTAATAACTTTTTTTTTAAAAAAAAGAACTTTTTCTGTAATCATTTGTCTTCTTAAATAAAGCTCACTGTTACCCCCTCCACCAGCAGCAAGGAATAACAGCACACAGTGAGACAGCAGCAATTCCTACCTCAATAGAGTGTGGTGGTTGCACGTAGCCATCTCTGGCACAAGCTGGGTATCAAATACTGCCTCAGTTTAAATCGGGCTGAGCTCTGTGGGCAGTTCAGTAGAGCACCTGGTCCTCTCATCATCATCTGCTGCTGCTGCCTTCTGGGCCACAGCTGAGTCAGTTTTCACATTTCTCAGCAATGATTTGCCTCTTTGTCTACAGCACGGTGTCACCTCAGCTGTGCACACCAGGCTGTCAGCCCCACCAGAAAGGTGTGAGGGGAGGGTGGCTGTGGAGTTACAGTCCACACTGGGTGTCTTTCCCAGGCCATTCGCTTGTCTCAGCTGGTCTAAATTGACTTCTCAAGGGCCACTGCACACCAGCCTCACGTGGCATAAACCTGTCTCACATCACCAAGGGGGTACAAAGCCCACCAGCAGAACAGGTGGTGGATTTGGGAGTTGGCATCCACAAGGAGTCTGTAGGCTCATGTTCTCACAGGCTGCTGGGTGGGCTGGGAGGGAGTTCCAGCCTGGGCTTGGAAGAGATTTCTTTCCAAGTGAGGTTCCAGTCCAGAGGAGGCATCCTGCTTAAAAAGAATGCCAAAAAAAGTCGGGTGGGAAAAATGCAGAGGTTTTTTCTGGTGTTTTGGTTTGGGTTTTTTTTTCCATTTGCTGCCCCCAAGGGTTGCTGGCTTCTCCCTGCTCCACAAGCAACTGTATGTGCACCAAGGCTGCCCCGGCCAGAAATAACACACCTCTTCTTTGTGTTGCAGCACATATGGATCCCAGTCTGGCCTTGGTCTGATGGGAATAAAAGATGACGGAGGGAGGAGTGCTTGTTAAACTGCCAAGATTTTAAGCAAAGTCTTTTGTTAAGATATTTTTAATTACTTTAAATATTGATGTCTTTGTAAAGATCTCTTACCATAAGAACAATAGGCTTTCACTCTGTATCTTTTACAAAGCCTAAAAATAAAAGCTATTCAAAACATCTTAAAGCACAAAACCTTTTCCATTAACCCTTTTTGCTGTGGCACCTTCCCTTGGCAGTGGGTGAGCTGGGGCAGAGCAGGGGCTGTTCTATGTCCGTTCCCTCCCGGGGACTGAGGTACCAGCTGGGCTGTCTTCACCGAACCATCGCAGGCTGAAAACCAGCAGCCAAGTCAATGCAGTACCTGCAGCAGCTGCTCAGGGGGTAATGGCTTTCTCTGGAATTGTGTGGATTTCTGGAATCGTGCTGTGCCAGCTCCGACACGGAGTCACTGCCTCCTTTCCGGGAAAGCACCGTATTCAGTTCATGGAAAGGAGGAATTGGTGATTCATACTTCTTGGCCAATCTTCACTTTCTCCTCCCTCCCTGACCACCCCTCACACACAAAAAAAAGAAGGAAAAAAAAAAAAAAAAAAGAAAAGATTCCCTGTTGAGAATTCAGTTAATTCTCATTTATTATTTTGTACCCTTCCAAAAGAAATTTCAGGCAAGGAAACTACACCTTACAGTTGATAAACCTCAAGCCGTACTACAAAAGAAAGAGAAAAGGAAAAAAAAAAAAAAAAAAAAGAGTAGTTCCAGTGGGGCCGTGGGAGGGGTAAGGGCCATTTAGAGGAAAGCACATGTCTGTGGGAACGTCACACATCGTGGCTGACAGCAGGAGCTGGAGGAGCAGAGCTGCAGGAAAGCTGCACCATCAGCAGCGGGATGAGGCAATTTGCAGCCTGACAGCTTCAGACCTGTGCTTTGCAGCCTTTGCCACCTAAAATCAAGGCTGCTGGACCATCTCCTGGTAACATACTGAATTTCCAAGCAGGAGGATGCCTAGGCGAGCTTTTGGCACTCAGAAAAATTAAAAGGAAATGTTTGTCACAAGGTTTGAGTGTGAGACAAAGGATTTCTCGCAATGAATTAGAATAGGCTGAGAAAAAGTTGAAATAGTTACTATTCCAGCAATTACTAAATACAGCCAACAGCATATTTAAACCCACCTACTTTCAATCCCAAGTTCACTGAGCCGGGCTCTTGAGCAAAGAGCAGCTTATGGAGTAGAATTTGGGAGCTGCTGTGTGGAGAAGCCTGCAAAAATAAAGGCAAGGGAGAGAAAGGCAAATACAGCACTGGCCCAGAGGCAGCAGTGGTGAGCGGCAGGGGATGCTCACCTCAGTGTCTTTCATAACTAAATTCAAAGCCTCGAAAACTGCTGAAATAGCATATATTATCAAGCAAGATTCATGCTGCCTTTTTTTTTGTTTTTCTTTTAAAAAGGTACTTAATTCTCTGTCATTGAACCTGACACCCTTTGGCTGTAGCTCTTGCAAATTGGGATAAGCATCAATGCTGATATAGGATTGGAGTGGGTCCCCTGGCCCAGCACTGCTGTCCCCAGCCCAGTGGGGACCAGAGTCAGGCAGCTCAGTGGAAGGGGGGGACAGACAGACTGACCCCAGCGCTCATCCTGCTGTTAGAGCACACTCCTCCTGAGACTGTTCCCATCCAGCGTCTCCTTGCACTGCAAAGGTGAAAAAAACCCAGCTAGTTTTCATTCCATGCACTTAAAAAATGATGTGGTCAACTCCCTGCAAGGAGTGGGGCAGGATTTAGTAAGCATCCAGGATTCCTGCTTGAGAAACTCTGGAGATGACAAATAAAACTAGCAAGAGTCCTATTTATAGGCATGAAAAAATAATTAATTTGTCCCCTTTTAATCGAAAATTTAAAAAGGACTTCAGCTTTAAATAAGACATTTTGTACAAAGCTTGAGCACAAAAAAAGTGAACACCAACGTGTCATGTAAACACCACAAATGTTATTCATTTGTTCAGTAATGCACAGAACAGCGTGCAAGTTCCCTCTCCAGTGGGTTAGATTTCTGTAGCCGCTCCCCTCCCTCCCCTCAGACCTTACTGGAATACAGGAAACCCAGAAGCTTTGGAACATTTACAAAGCTACAGTAGTCAGGATACATTGTGACTGAAGGATTATTTTTTTTTCTTTTAAGGGATTGGTCATTTAAATATACAGAAGTACAATAATCTCACAGGTAAATGAATGGCATCTTGGATTAGAAAAAGCACCAAAATATTTAATATACATCTGGCACAAATTCCACAAGAAGTCAGTAATGGACAAACCAATGCTTTGCTTATAAGAAAAGAAAAACCTCAGACTGCACTTAATGCTCTTCTTCCAAAAGGGACACGACAAAAACATTGCACTCAGGATTGCTATCAAGTAAAGACAACCTTCTTATCACAACCTATTTGCATTGTGCCTTAGATTGCACATTCTGTAAGATGCTGTTTCCATTCTGTTCCAGACAACATCGGTGAGCAAAATTAAAGAAAAGTAACTGTAAAACTACAAACCAAATGGGACTCAGTAGATGCGTCATCTTGGACTTCTCCCACTTTGCCTCTAGGTCATTGCTTCAAGTTTGGCCACGTCCCTTTAAAAAAAGATCCTACATGAAACAGAATTTACTCCAGCCGTTTTCAAGCATTACATTTACACAGCACTTCTGATGCTGCTGTCTAAAAGGGGAAGCACGGGTCTGCTCCGCAACACGCAATACATTCATCATTCCCCAGAGCAGGGCAATGGGATCAGCCATGGTTATCTCTTGGGTAAGTCTGAAAAGGCAAAAAACACTCCCAACACAAAGACCGGCAGATTTGATCCTACGTACCCTCGCGGGTGTGCTGAGACTGATCAGCGCGGTGTATTCACGCCTGACTATTTCCTTAGAATTAGTTCTCTGGGAGCAAACACTATCAAAACGCATTCCTTCCGTAAAGGGTGACTGGAGGCTAAACTGGGGCCAAGATCCACAAGTGAGAACTCCAAGAAATCCAGCTGCATCAACCAGCTCTCCCAGGCTGACCCTTCTCCTCCACGCAGCCCCTCAAGGACATCCAGGTGCTTCACGCCCTCAGACCAGCCAGTGCAGACCCCGGCAGCATCGGGTCAGGACTAATCCTGCCACCTGCACCCACGTCTCCTGGAACTGGAGTTACTCAACAACTAACAGCACCAGGCCCCCCCACCACTCCTGCCAGCCCATCGCCTTGTTTAAAGACTGTTTTAAACTTCTAGATAAGAAAGCAAGCGTATTTTTAAAGATAACTATGTTTAGCGTGACTTAAAGTCACAACTTCAAAATATTAAGCACTATTCTGTTAAGTCCTCTAATATGTAATACATATGGGAGTATAAAACCAGCAGCCAGCCCACAGCTCCAGGGATCCTCTGTGGGTTTGCCACCTCTGGTCACACCATCTCCCCTCTCACGGGCCCAGAGAAGAGCAAGAGTCAGCAGCTGTAACTGCATAAAATGGCAACATTCAAGTAAACACACCGATTCAACAGTAGGCAACCTTTAGTCCAAATATAATTTACAGGGGAAAAAAAAAAACCAGAACATTTTACAGCAAGAACATCAGAGACGGATGGGTTGTCTTCTGTCTGTGTGTGAAATGACAAGTTGTCCAGAAAGGGCTTATCTGAAGAGTGCAATTACGCAAAGATAGAAGCTTTTTAAAAATAAAAAAAAAAAAAAAGTTGTCTAACCTCCAGAACCTGTTGGATTAAAAAACCTAACTACAGAAAGACTGAGGATTGCAACAGTAGTGAGGAACTGCTGTAATTTCAGTGATTTAAGGCAAGCTCTTAGCAGGACTAGTACCTTCATGCTCCTTTACCTATCGCCTCACAGGCCCCGCCATGCTCTCCAAACACGTGCCCACACAGATAGTGCAAGAGGTCACAGCCCAAAAGCAACCCTCGAACTGGAAGAAGAATCCTGTAGCAACAGTTGCTGCAGCACAACATCTGTTTGGGATTTGCAAGGGACACGGGTGTGCTGCCTGAAAGAGAGACACAACCTGAACACATGAACGAACACAGCCCAGCACTGACACCACTCCAGCATCTCCAAAACACCCAAGAACTCTCCAGTTTTGCTCAAGCGTAAGGGTTTTATCCTGAGCAAGATTCTGACCTCAGGGAGGAAAAGGATGGGTGTAGCTGTTAGACTTTTGCAGCTCCCATCTTTGCTGGTTGTTACAGGTCCAGCCTGATAGAACAAAACATGGTATTTTTCATCAAAAGAAAAATACGCTCATGGCACTGCATCAGGTGGGTTCCTAAAGTTTTTCAAGGGCAAATGAAAAGGCTGGTGGCTCCCTCCTGGGGAGCTGCTGCTCCATCTTCCAATTTACTGTCAGTACAGGGACCTGGACCAGGGAAGAGGATGTGTGATGAGAAAAGGCCCTGAGCCACACATGATGCAGCTCCAGTCGGTCACTCTATTGCACTCCAAAACTAGCACCCAGGAGGACCGACACACTGTTTGCAGCTTGACTTGGCTCCCTTTCACAGGGTTGATTGCATGCAGATTAAAAGCAGTATACCAAAAAGTATGGCAAATATAGATAATACTTAACTTGGGTCAATTAAAAAAAAATAGATTACTCATCCAGGCTTAAAATCCTGGGAGCAAAGGATGGTAACCTTAAACTATTCAAGTCTAAGAACAAGAGGTAGAGATACCTATGTACTTCATGATGAAGGAGTTACAGCCTTCTGTCCTACAATCGCATGTATTTCACTTCAATTGACAATATAAAACCAAAGATTCAATCTTCAATAGTCCAGAGACAAGGTTTAACACTGGTGGTTTTGTTTGCACATAACAAAATTTAAGCAGACACTTAGCTTTCAACACTTATTAGAAAAAAATATTTATGTTATTGAAACACTACCCTGAAGAACTTTAAGTTTCAGGATAAGCATCTTCCTTTTTATTATGAAAGGCTAAATTCACATGCACACATTTTGAGCAGAGTGAGCTCGAGGGAAGAACTGGGTGCTCAATTTATTGAGGATCTTCTAAAAAAGGATCACACTGCAGAACACAAGGCTGTGAGACCCAGAAACTCACAATGACTATTATTTTCCAATGAATGGGAATGATGTAACCTCAGCCAACAAATTACATCATGACTGAGGTGGCGATTAATTACATGGTGTTCCTTTTTTTGGGAAACAAGGCTTAGAACTGTAAGGAAGATACTTATGTTGTCACTGTCATGAAGATACTAAAGTCACTGGTCAGTGCATAGCCATGTCTGGGAACCACAGGTGACAGGCCAGTACCTGTCCTGGGAGCCCCGGGTTCTTCAGGCTCTGATGGACATGCAAGGAGTGAAACAAAAGTCACACAGGCAAAGCTGCTGCCACCCCCAGCGCTCTGAACCCCCGACTCGAGAGCCACCCTGCCCTCAGGAAGAGGGGCTCTGTCTCTCTGCCACCGAGCCCCAGTCACTCCCTGGGCAGCGGAGCAGGGAGAACTCGTTCCAGGCTCTTAAACGCGCTCGGCGGTTCGGAGGCTGATTCAGATCTGCCCCACCAGCCCTGGGAAGCCAGGGCTCCTCCTGGGACGGACCAAACTGCCACCGGCTTCAGCCATCTGATTTTACACCACCTGCCACACCTTCATTTATTTTTTCCTGTGGTTCTTTCATTACAATTGCACGGTATTAAAAAGTTATAACTATCCATATAGAATAGCACCAGCAGCAAGTAAACTCACAATTCAGCATTCAATTTCAACTAATTTCCTCGGTCGTGTTTTATGGCCGTCTCTGGGCGGAATCTTTCAAATCCTTACTTGAATCAATAAATTAGTCTTTGACCTCAGAAACGCACCCACACAAGTAAAAATTAGCATAACTGAACCTCCAGTTGATCTGGGAGCCAAATTTTAAAGGTGTTGCAAACTATAATATGGGGCAGGTGGTCAGTGTTTTATTACTCAGGAATGAAGTTTACAGGAGTTATATTTCTTTGCATATAAGGGAAGGCAATAAAATGCCAGAGTGTAGACATCAGACCAGTTTTCCAGTATATTACTAAAACTATCTCTATAGTTATCTATAGTTATTTATCCCAAGTTGCAGCAGATTCAATACATGCATCAAGTTTTCTACTGCATAGTCTAATTAAAAAAAAAATATAATTAAATAGTTGCAATGGTTTCAAGGATTCCATCAGCATCACTGTTCACTACAGTCCTGTGCCCTACACAATAAAGATTTAAATTATATAAAAATGAAGAGTGAATGTATTTGGCCTGTTCCACAGATATTCACAGTTTAACCATTAAACAAGCATATTTTCAGAGGCTCCAATATTGTTAAAAACGTCTCAGAAACATGTACAAACCCCACTCCCACACAGGTACCAGTACCAGCGTTGCAGAGTACGGGCTATTCTCGTTTAGGATCATGAAATCCCCAGACAATCCAAGGGCAGGTCTGACCCCTCTCTCACTTGCAGCACTGCCAAAGAGTTGCACCTTCAGCTCCTGGTTCAGGAGTTTAAAACTGATACAGGTCTGGCTTGCATCCTGTAAATGGTAATTAAAAAAACTGAAGTTAGGCTAAAAAAAACCACGGTTCTTTGCTAGACAGATCAATTGGCTATTTTTGCAAGTATTCTACCCAACGAGTGGAGTTGCTCTTGTGAGGCTGAAAGCAGCAGAACAAGAACAAGGTTTTTCTTCTGTACTGAAAGTATGAGACTTGAGCCACTGACAACTGTTTGTCCTTTCCCCAACAGGAAACAAGATTTTTTTCCCTTCCTCTATATTCACCACCACCATCTTTAAAAAGAAGTCGTATTACATTTGATGCACTAAACCAGGCTAAGCCTTGATGTGCTACAAATTATGTCCTTACCACAAATCCACATTCAGAGCACAAGAAAAACACCTGCCTTAAAGAGCTCTATCCCTCATCCTTTGGAGCTGCTGCAGTTCAGCATATACATCGCTGCAGCCACTGCCACGATTTGGTGTGCACGTGTGTGCACTGGCTATCCATTTGAATAGTTAGTTTTCACATTGTGGACATTTTAAATTACCTTTAGGGAAAAAAAATAAAACAAAGTGATGAACAAAGCATTTAACAGCTGAATGAATGAGTAGTCTCAAACTTATAAATACAGTCTTCATTTACTATCAAATCAGTCTCCATTTGGAACTTTTGCTAACAAAGCAGCCTCTGTTGGGGAATTTTTTTTCTTTTTCTAAAATAACAGCACCAGCAAAAGTCTCACCATAAATTCAATTATACCAGCCTGCTTTGCTCATCAAATCAGAGTAAGATTTTGGTGCCAAACAGTGCTTGTGCCACGGCAGCTTGGAAGGTTATAGTAGCAAAGACAAAGCTTTGGGTATATTCCCTATAATACAGCACGTTCAGGGCTCCCCTCCTGCAAAGAGACAGACTCAGCTGCAGCTGGAACAACTACATTTGTTTTCCACAGCTTAACACGTCTCCCAGCAAGAGCTTGCAGAAGCAGCATGGACCAAACTCTCCTTTTATTAGATGAAAGAGATGCTATCTGTGGCTTGTGGGTTTGTTTTTAAACAGTTTTCAGTACCCACATTGTGTTAGTGATTTATGATCTCAGACCCAAGCTATTGCATAGGCTGTGCACCAGCAAAGCCAGTGACAGAATTCAGGCAGATCCTCCTCCTCCTCTCCCTGCTGACCCCTCTGGGGCATGGCAGATGTGCAAAGCAAGCCATCCTGCACCCACTGACAAGCTCGCCCCTTATACTCTGTTTCCCTTTAGCTTTAAAACCTTTAGATCACAAAACCCATTAGATGCTGTGGATAACTGTCCAGGGTTTTTTTTCTTTCGGTTTGTTTTTTAATTGAAGCCGATTTATGATCCTGAAATGCAGCTCTGAAAAGAAAAGGTGTGAAATGGAAGTGTATCAAGTTCATTAAGCCAGTACTTAGCTCTATAGAAAGCCTTGGCAATCATCCCTTTTACCAAAAGGTGTAAAAAAGTTGACATACTAAAATTAAAAAAGGTAGCATCAATAACCAAAAAAGTTTCAACCAGTGTTAATAAAACTCCCTTTAAGTCACAACAGTTTCAACAGGCAAATAGTCCCAATACAGGCATTGTAAAATAATAAATTGACTCCTATCCAAATATTATCAAATCAGTCTAAAAATGACTCATCTACACTGTTGTCATCAAGAACACATTAAGAATTCACTTTGTCATCAGATGCCGATATTGTTGCTCCAGAAAGTGTGGAGTATTAACTGCAATTTAGCAATTAAACATAGGTTTTAAAAAATTGGTTCGTCAATATTAATGCAAAAGATAGTTCCTTACATAGAAGTACTGTGCTTGCCAGACAAGTAAGATAATACTTTAGGTATAAATCAAACAAATTAAAGCAGAATTATACCACAGTTTTCCTTGAAGACTTAGGGTTTATGTGTTGCTTCTGTCAATGTTTAGCAAACTTAAGAAGCAGAACCTTTGGTTCTTTTAGTCAAGTAAAAATATTCTCATGAAACCACAAAAATACAACTTCCAGAGAAAATGGAAGTCCATCAAGAAGTCCACTTTCAATAAAACTGAGGTAGTACTGCTCTTTTATTACATGATGTGTAAGAGATTTAGATACAAATCGTCATCTACCACTCAGTTGACTGACAGGTACAGTAATTTTATAAAACAATCCCAACATTTAGTTTGAAACTCCAAAAAAAGGAATGATCTGGACTCATTCGCTAAGAGTTAGCTTTAAAATGGGAATTAGCCATATTACAAAAAGCTGTTGCTTACATTGGTTTTTAGAGCCTTATTACCGGGGGGATTAATGCATTTGTAGTTAACAGTTAACACTGCTGTTCATCTTGGTATAAAACCTTAAAATTATTACAGCCTAAAATTTCAACAATGTAAACAGCACTACACACAGTACAGACCTGCCCTGACAGATGTAGTATGAAAAACTTAATCTGGCACTGTATAATTTAGCAATGTTAATTTAACCTAACTAAAAAGATCTACATTGTGCAAGAAATATCAGACTTACTTATACTAATCTGAAGTCTTAAAAAAAACCCCAAAACGCTTAACTTGTAGCCAGGGTCAAATATTTCAGGGCAAGAGTAAAAGGAATAACCAAAATTAAGAAAGTGCCTAAAACATGATACAGCATTTTAGAGCCCTTTCAAAGACAAGGCAGAAAAAGGTGTAAAGTAGAAAAGTCTGGAGCCTCGGTAATTTCCAGAAACATCCAGAGTTTACATTTCATGAAGGGCAACAGGTTCCTTCTGTCACTGCTGCTTCGATGCCGCTAAGTCTGTTCCTCCGCACACAGGCCCTCTGTGTCCGGAGACGTAATACATTTGGTTTCCTCTTCCTTTTTCCTTCGCTCCATTTCCCACTCCACAAAGGTGTCGAAGAGACTCGGCCAGGCCTCGTCCTCGCTGTAGTTGCTAAGGTCCGGTCCAATCACCTGAGTAAAATTTAGAAACATGTTCCACGTGTCCCGGGAGATTCCCTTGATTCCTGAGGGGTTCTCGATTAGGAAGTGTAACCACTGGTCCAAAATGGGGGGCTTGTTTTGGGTGAAGACTAATTTCCAAAGGGCAATGGCTATTTCCCGATGTAGCGACCTCTGTCCTTCTTCAGAGTCCAGGCCGAACTGGAAGGTGAAACGATAGAGATCCTTGAATTTATCTTCCTGCTTGGCTTCATTTAAGAGGCTGGGGAACCTTGCACAAATGCCGTCAATGCTGTCTGCGTTTATTGCTTTGCAGCCTTCAAAAAACTCCTTCCTATTAAGCAAGAAAGAGAAATTAGTGCAAGCACTTCCCACCGACCTCACGCGCTGAACACTTCCCATCTCTGTTCAGCCACGCCACATGGGTGCAAAAGAGGGTTATCTGGACAAGACAAGGTGTGCTCTCAGCCTGGGTGGCACAAGGATCTTGGCAGCAGGAGCTACTGGAAGGAGAGACGTTTCCAAGAAATTTCTCATGGCTTGGGGGACCACAGACACCATTCAGATCTGCTGGGACACCGTTAGCATTCGAAAGACATTTTGCTGTCTGGCTTTCTGACAACTCAATAATACCACATCCAGTGCCTTTCACATTAAAAAGTGCATCAAATTTACCACAGAATAAATGCCAAATGTCTGAAAACACCACATTTATGCACTGAAGCACCATATATAAACCAGCTTGATTCAATACTGCCCATGCTCTGGGTGAGCTGTTCCCAAGGGACAGAGCAGTTCACTGGTGGCTTTCCTGTGGTTTTTGGTTGGTCTTCCAGCCTGCAAAATAAAAAGGGTGCCAACGGCAACGGTCAGCAAAGGCACCTGCTGAGAGAGCGGAAGAGAGCACGGCATCACACAACATAGGCTACAACGCAATGTATAAACACTGCTCGAAGCACCAGTCCTGTACTAATTAGCCTACTAATAATCTGGCAAAGTGGGTAGATGGTTAGCGCTGATTTCTCAAATGCTCATGAGCAAGTGTTATAGCCAGCCAGTAGTAAGCAGAGCCAGCAGACTCTGTGCGGAGGGTGCCAACGGCAACGGTCAGCAAAGGCACCTGCTGAGAGAGTGGAAGAGAGCACGGCATCACACAACATAGGCTACAACGCAATGCATAAACACTGCTCGAAGCACCAGTCCTGTACTAATTAGCCTACTAATAATCTGGCAAAGTGGGTAGATGGTTAGCGCTGATTTCTCAAATGCTCATGAGCAAGGGTTATAACCAGCCAGTACTAAGCAGAGCCAGCAGACTCTGCGTGAGATGGGCTGGAGGGAAGACAGGAGATGGGGCAGTGCTCAGGAGAACAGAAGATCACGTTGCTTTCCTCGATGGAAGAAGCCCATCAGCACTCGCATCACGGAGCACACTGTTGGGGGTAACCTCTCACCCTTAGATCTGCCAGCTTTCCAAGAAAATCAAAACGATGTTAATAAGACTCATGGTGGTTGTGCAGAATCACAGAGACTACTTGCAATTCCTTTTCCACATTAGCAAATACCTGCGCCAACAGCCTCTAGTAAATCCACATTTGCATTCCAGAATAACTCATCCATTTGACACACACCCACATCCACAAAGGCTGCGAAGATGCCGGAAAAGCTATCTGTGTCCAGTGCACTGCAGAGGCTTGGTTCAAGGCTCAGGACACTTAAGTAATTTTGAAAGTTATTAGCTGAGGAAAAATAGGTAGCATTACTCAAACCAACTGAGATAGACCAAAAAAATTTAAAAATTCATTCTCTCTCAGCAAGTCCATGAAGAAGTCTTTCCTTGCTCTTACCTGGACATTGATAATCAAGCTGCGGGGGGAGAGGCTGTTGTAGTTTTGGGTTAGGTTTGTGGGGTTTTTTCCTGGTAAGTTTTAGCTGTTCTGTCACTTCCTGTAGCATCACACATGCTATAAAAAGCCTGCTCACTGACACCCTTGTCCAGAAGGACAGACAGCCCTTCAAACACCAATCACTTGTCAGACAGTGTGAAACAGCTACCAGTGTCAAAAACCTTGCGTTGCCTTCCCTCTCTATGCTTTAATAGGATTACTCTTGGAAAAAGACATTAAGTGTAACAGTGGTTGGGCAGGAACAATTCCTAGGATGCAGTCTGTCATCCTGTCACAGCGTTGGTAGCAATTACTAAGAAATCTCACATTACTTTAAAGCAAAAATTAATTTCAGTGTCCGATCTCATCACCAAGATAATGCTGGATACAGTAAAACTGCTTTTGGTAAATCAAGAATAAATGAATGTCTACAGAATCTCACTACACTGTTCATCATTAGCCACATTATGTCCAAAACCACATTTTTGGTTCTGAAACTCACCGTAAGGGGAAGGGGAATACAATACAAAGCTTACCTTTTGCAGCAGTAGGAATTAATTTGATCAAAATGCAAGTGTTAGAAGAAATAAGTGAAGTGAGGCTAATGTCTCCAACATACAGATGACAGGATACACTTTAACATATGAAAATAATTACAAGTTCTACAAGAACTAACCTTGTAAATTTGCACATGGTAGCAGCCTGGAATTTCCAAGCCAAAACTAGCACTTTAAATTCAGTGGGATCAACACAGAGGTCATTGCAAAATCGTTCCATTCCTTCTTCCAGTATGGCATCTTCCCGTTCATCCTTATACCTCCTAAACAACTCCCCGATCCTTTGGAGCGAAGATTCTTCTGCGCTGGAAACAGAGTCTTTCTTTGTATCTCCAGAAAACGTTGGAGGCTGACTAGACTCCACAGCAGCATCCGTTTTCTTTGTCCCATTCACCAGTATATCTCCTGAAGACTTCCCGCAAGCCGAACCGTGGTCTTCTTTGTGGACTGCACTTCTCTTACTGTGCGACTTGCTGCTGGATTCCCTTTCCCCATTTTTGCTGCCGAGGGTAGAAGAAGGATTCTTGCACTTCGTGACACACTGGCCCATGATGTTGCAAGCCCAGCTTCTCGAGCAGTCCCCTCGCTGTCAGACAGCCTCGCAGCTGCTCCTCAACACATTTCACCCTGCCATTAGCGGCAGTCAACTAACCTGAAAAACAGTTTCAGAGTCAAACTGCTGTTTCTCCACAGAGAATATAGTAAATATTAAACGTGGGATAACATTTGCCAGTAAGAGACCAACTTCAGGATATTTAGGTTTTGCGTACTGAAAAGGAGTAGTGTACAGAAGGTTGGCATATGCCATAAATTTCAGGCAATTTCAAGCTGTTTTACCTAGAAATCAATGCTGCTCACTCAGCGCCTGCAGTATACTAACGGGCCCTAATAAAGGAAATTCCTAAAATTCTTACTGTAACATAGGTTACAAAGAGGTTGATTCATGTACAGCCTTCATCAAGACAGACTACTCTACCCCAGAAATATTTTAAAGGAAATGGTTTTTAAAAGTATACCCACATTTTATATATAGAATATAAACCACTGAAACAAAGCAGGGGAGAAACAACACTGATGGGACAACCTGGCAGAGACTTAAGCAGTAGATACAGACTGTACCTTCAGCAAATGGGCAAAAAGGGTTGGGGAGGGGTGGAATTGTGTGGGGTTTTTTTTTTTAGAGTTTGGAATCTAAATTATTGTTCTTAAAACATACAGAGAGTGTGTTTGCAACAAGGAGGCAACACTCACTTTTCATACAAGATGGTGTTAAGGAATTATTGTTTCAAGTGGGCTCCTCCCTGCAGGTAACGAGACAGACAGGGGAGGGGGCCTTTTTAATGAAAGTTTTTCAGACAGACACACATGCAGATAAGAAGTAGTAATTCCAGTTCAGGTTTTTTTTTTTTTTAAATTAGAATTAAAATGCCAAAAAGATTTCATCATACTTCACAAATCACAATGTTAAAGCCTTGCATATTGGAAAAAGGTATTTTATGCACCAAAAAGGGTTCTTAAGTTTTCCCTATTAAAACCAAAGTAACACTCTGATACTATCCTATCAGTGTGCAGCCACGCCACGGACAGTCTATTTCTCAGAAACATCAACTCCAAGAAAGCAACTGCTTATCGTATTCCTCGTTTACCCACTTATTTGCATTTCATTTCCACTGTCAGTTAGGCAAAAGCCTCAAACATAAAAATTGGGTTTGTCTGTCTGTTTACTGCTGCCAGGTTACAGAATTTGAACAAGAAAAAAAAAAAAAAGAGATAAAAATTAAAAACTAAGAAATAAAACAGATGTCATGTCAGTTTTTCTGTATTGTTTCTTGGGTAAAGCTCTTCTGAGACCGAATCCCTGTTTTGAGCTGTAAACCAACTTGGAACAGCAACACCAAGTGCAGAGAATTCTCCAGAAACTGGGATTACAAACATAAATTTTCTCTCAGCCATTACGCCCGTTTTTGTAAAATGGTATGAATGCAGTTTTGTGAGTTTAAAAAAATATATATATAAAAAAATCTGTACAACAGCCAGCATGCTGGTTTCAACTACCTGGCTTCTCTTCCCCTCCCAAATCCCTTTTCTTAAACCCATAACCCACACCCAAAACTTATTTTTAAGCAGCAAAAGGAACAAACATCCAATACATCCTTTCACCAAACTGCTTCAAAGATGAACTTTGTATAGGCAAGTAAAGTTCCATCTAATGCATTCAATTTCTTACAATTCAAATAATTTCTTGTAATTTCTTATTCATTTGTATTTTAAAGAATTCATTAAAACATGCATTTCCACATAAACAGCCACTGTGACAATTTCACTGGTCCTTCATACTCCCCAGCTCTCTGACTTGCAGAGTACAGCCTGGCACTGGCTCCTGCGCTGCCATGCGATGAGCAATATCATCTTCTCTAGTGAACACTAGTCATTTTTTCGTTACACCAAAACAAACAGGATATTATTAGACAGTGCAAATTACTGCTTAGTGATTAACTCCCAGACACCAGCCTTCCTTCACCACCACTCCCCTTTAAATTCATCAGAATCCATATGCTCAATCTGCACTAATTCTTGTTCTTCCATCGGTTTCTCAAAGGCAGCTCTACTTGGGCTGTTTTTCTTTAGAGAGGAGCATGCAAGTAAAGGAACAGAATAAAAAAAAGTCCTGAGTAAAAAACAATGCTACAGTTGACACTAGAGTTTAGCTAGTTTATAAAACTTTCTGCTCATACACATAACAGCAATTATTAGCTGTTGGGGATTCAGAGCAGCTTTTCCCTATGGACAGGTTAAAGAATAGCTGTCTATTAGTGAATGGTACTTTCATCTAGCTGGTAGCAGTCACATCACACACAGCATAATGGGCAGAGATAAATCTAATTCACTCTAGGAATCCCAATTTAAAGTTTAAAAGAAAAAAAAAGACAGTTTGCAAGACTAACTTACACACCCTGTCCATAAATTTTCCTCACTCAAGTGATTCATGCTATCATGCTTCCTAAGCAACAGCTTCTATTAATGATGATAATCCAATATTCAAGTCTACAAAGCGACATCACCAGTATGATAAACAGACAGGGTTTATTGTCATTTTCTGTCATGGAAAGACAGCATTACAATGCAGAGAGAGAAGGTCAGCCAGCATTATTAAACATCTGTATGTGAGGAAGCGTACTGACAGCCATTTCCAAAAACCAATGGAGAGCACAGTAAGAGCACTAACCCACAGAGTGCAAGGTAACCCCATCCCCACAGAACACCCCTCTAATGAACCCGTTTTCTGTCCTCCACCCTACCTGCCTCCAAGGAGCCCACTGCTGCTCCTGCCCAGCCAGTGTCTGGGCTCTGCTCACACTGCTGTTCCGTGCAGTAACAGAGCTCTTCCTTCCTCCTCCTCCTCCTCCCTGCCGAGGAGGTGTTCAGAGCACAGTCCTACTCGTTATGAACAAACACGAGAAGATACTGAAGTACAGTTGCTGCAATTCCTCACTTTTCTACTACATGAAACTCGATGCCACGTGCCAGATACTTTGAAGCGTTCTACCCCAAAAATAGCAAAACCAGCTTGAAAAAAAAAAAAAGTCAGACCGCATCCGCTGGCAGTTTGTGCATGTATCTGGTTTTGTAAGAGACAAATCTTTCTGGCGCTCCATCAGTTACCCTTTCATAAAATGCCTTCACCGAGCTGGATTCACTTCACTTACTAGTCACCTCCGCTTCCTACATGACTCAGGTTTCAAGGCATGAAAGGAACAAGAGCCTCGGAAGGAGATAGAAATGAGTGGGAGAACTCGGCCCTTTTGTTCAGGAAGGCTGGAGAGAGGATCCAGTTGCAGCATCAGGAGCTGCGCGGAGCTGAGTGTTCAAGGAGTATGAAAAAGCACTCTCAGGAAAGAGAACACTCATTTACCCGTAGAGCAAAGGAAGTGTCACGTCTAGGTCACGCTGATTACGGTTGAGTGAGCACAAGGACGTGCAGAGATATTTCTCCCAGCTGGATTGGGAACTACAAGTATTAAGTTCTCCCATACCCAAAGGTTACACTGGATCGGTGGCAAAGCACCATTCCCCAAGCCATCAGTTCCCAAGAGCAAAATTACTGTTAACAGGCTTGTACAACGTAACAGTGAGACACAAAAGGCAGCACTGACCACTGGTTTTGCCATTCTGCTAAAAAAGATCAAAATCCAGGGCTAAGGTTGGATCGTACTCAGCGCTACAGGACACAGTACTCCCAAAGAAGTTTGATTACTCAGACACGTGTTGAGCAATAACCTACAGTAAATATGAATCACCAAGATGCCCATGAGGCACCCTCCACATAACAGGAACTGCAAAGCAGAGATCAACAATGATGTTCTCTGCTCCTCTCTGGAAGGAACTAAGCAACTAACTGGAAACACAGGAAAACGAGTGCTGGTGAATACAGCCACCCTCTAAGAACAAAGGGTGTGTAGAACCATATCACCCAACACATTTAACAGGAAACCTAGAGAAGATTGGAAAGACCTTGCTAATGCTTAGCTTTTTGTTTTGGGGTTTTTTGTTGTTGTTTTTGGTTTCTTTGTTGTTGTTATGAGCTTTTTGGTTCGGTTTTGGGGTTTTAGTACAGTAAGGAAATTAGTTTTTCTCCATTTTCAAGTGACCAGATCACATGTAACCCAACATTTGAAGCAAGTAAAACAACAAAGTGACTCAGTAATAATTCTCTGTCACACCAGCACACCATGGCACAATTGACAACAGCAACACTGAAGTGGGGGAAAGCTGGCTGTAGGAGAGAAGATGCAAAGGAGATATTTAAGTAACCCTGTATTTTTCTTTAATGACCAATGTTATTGTAGTAACAGAAATTATTGGATACATCCAGAGAATAACAAAACACAGCCAAGCATTATGCTGTTTAATAAAGTGTTGCATCAGAAGGTATTTACAACAAGTTTCAAAATGTAAAAAGTATCAAGAGAGAAAAGGAAAAAACCCTCTGTAAATTCAAGAACACCTCAAAGACAAATTTAGGAAATCTCGTAACAAAAGGGACACAGCTCAGCCAGCCATTAAATCCCTTCCCCATTAGCAGTTCTCCAGCTAAGGCAAAGACAACATTGCTAGAGCTTAACTAAGCCTCAACCCAGTCTCAACTTTTGGCAAATACTTGAGCATAGTCTGTAAGAATTTTACGGAATTTCACTATGCATTATCTACCTGTTAGTGGACAAGAATACATTCTAAAATATCTGAGAGTAGGGAACAGTATGATGGGTGCCCTGTCTTTTGCCAGCTCTGAACAGATACACACAGCTTTTCATTGGGGAGCCTCAAGAGTATCATTGCAACTCCTGAACCAGAAGGAATTGCTGCTTTAACGGTGGATGCTGGGCAAGTGATCTTGTAAGCAAACATGTAATACTTACATAGTTTCAGCTACACAGGGAATCATTCCACTAGCTGTCACAGCCTCTTTCAGGCTGCCTGGGTTCCACATGGAATGCTGCAAGACAAAAGACCACACAAATCTTTACTATTAGAAGAGGCTATGAAAACCCTAAAATGCACCAAATTGCTCAGAAGCAATTCATAGCCAAAATCCATTTATTAAAAGAGTCATTTTACAAAACTACTTCAGATTTTACTTATTAAGTAGCATTAACACCACTAATGCTGCATTGCCATATAAAGCATAGATCAGGTACTGAATACAACAGACAAGTTCAAATGTTTGTTAGGAGTAAACACACACTTCCGGATACTTTTATGGCTTTCAGCACAGGAGAGTTAATTCCTCATTTCATGCACCCAAAGCAAAACAGAGGCCGTGCTATCATTGTCAATGCATGTTAGCTAAGCGGCTGTTTAATCTGTGAATGCCAGACAGCTGCTACCTAGCAAAGCATAATTTGGGTCTAGAAAGTAATTCTCTTTTTTCATTCTCTAGCACATTCTTTTCCATGTTTGTTTTCCCATGTTCAGTTGAGCTGGCTCAACTTCTCTTAAATTCCCAGCTCTGCTATATAACTACAAAGCTCTGAAGAGAAGATGACAAAGGTTTATGTAGCAAGAGCTACAACCACAGCACCTAGTCAACACCTCTGTTTGCATCTGATCTAGGAAAATAACAACCCAAAACAAAACAAGAAAGCTCTGGCAAAGCTCTACCATACTAACACTAAAACGTCCTGTTTTTACAGTTCTTAGTACATCCACGGAACATACTGATTTTTTTACATGAGACCTACGTCTTAGAAAACAAGTGGGAACGTTAGCTTGTTCAGTGCTTTATTCAGTAGAAAGTAGGGAATGGATGTAGAAAGACAACCATGAAACAAGTTCTTACCGCACATGTCAATCTCTGCATAAATTGAGTTTTCCCAAACTTTAGTCCTATATGCAGATTAGCACAAGTTTGACTGACAAATAAAACCTAGTTCAGATAAAAACTTTTAAAAAAACCTTTTAAAAGACAGGGGAAACAGGCATCCAAAATGCTTCAAAACCCCTAGAAACTGTAGAGCGGTGCTTTTGCCCATAATAGACAAAGGCAGAGCAAAAACGTATCTCCGCTCAACTGTTTTTATGCATTTATTTTTGAGATGGGTAGTCTAAAAAGCCTACTTCACTCTGTACTTACATCCTCCACTTCCAAAGCTCACCTTCCACACAAACCACCACCCTTTCGCATCCTCGACAGTCTCAGAGCTCTTTTAGCACACACTCCTGCTGAAAAGGCCACCAGCCAGCTCAAACGTGTACAGGGGCAGGGGAGTTCCTGCCTCTCTCTCCATGAAATTACTAGCTCGGATTTCTTTCTGTTTGACCATAGCATCCCATGAATTTCAAGAATTTAAGCAAATGGAACATCTGGCACTTCTGTGCTAATTTCCTTTGGCACCCTGCAACTAAGTAATTCCTTTTATAAAACATCAGGGGAGGAAAGAAGAGACTGGAGGGACAGGGAGCTGCGCAGCCTCATTCCCCCAGGAGTCTGCTTAAATAGAGGAGAGGCAACATCTTACACTTCACATTTTGAAAACCATTGTCATGGCAACTTTATGCAACAAACTACTTTTCAGACAGATCTGTATTTCTTTGGAAGAAACCTATGATCCACCAAATCTTCATTTCCAGTTGACTACAGCACATAGGGGAAGCAAATGCTTATTTCAAGTTCAAAAGAAGCTGGATATGACAGAGCTCAGTCCTACCCAGCAACAGCCAAACCTTTTCAGGTCATTTGAAGTAGTTTCCACGTTGGCTGACCTGTACACACACACTGTCTGGAGCCAGGTGCCAGAAATGTTAACATCTATTAGAACCGCCAGCCACAATTCTTCCCCCATTCTTACTACTTTTACTCTACCAAGTTGCCCATTTCAACTTTTTTAAAATTTTAACGTAGTAGCAAGTCTAAACTTATGTGACAACACACTTATGGGATGTGGAATAAAAAGTTAGTCTGAGCTAGCAGTTAAAAACCCAAGCTCTTCAAGTCTGTATTTAAAGGCTATCATAGCCCAGCAATGTGTGGTGGCTGACTTCATCCTAAATCACACAAGATGACTGCGGCGGGGGTGGAAAGAAGCATCAACGCTTTTGTGGCAAAAGTTTCAATTCAGTCCTTGGGTCAGGGTTGCAAGGAACAACCATACGCTACCATCACCACGCATCCCCCTTTGCTGATGCGGGAGGAGCATCACGCAACAGCAAACAGCCTGCGTCCTTCGTTAGCAATCCCACTCGGCAGCCCGCTGGGAAAAGAAATAAATGGTGTGCACCCTCAGGATTGTGGAGACCTTTGTTTTGCTCACCTGCTTCTTCCTGCACCTGTGTCTGCCTCCCCCCTGTGACTCGGGCTCTCCTGAGCACTGGTGCACAGAGGATCACACCACACAACACTGCAGTGACACAACCACTACCTCCCTCCACACTCCTCCTCAGCAGCTCGGCCAGGGGTAAAAGCTGACAGAGTTCTCACAAAAAGCAACTTTTTTTTTTTTACTTTCCTGTGGGGAATCAGTGAAGAATGAATGATATTATTTCCCTCTTCAGCAGGCTGAAATCGAGAGGATGAACTCTGCATGTGGGAGACTTTACCGCGCAGTTGAGTTCTGTGCTACAGCACCAAAGCACCTGGTGTGTAAGTGTTAAAGCACGAATGAAGCTTCAGTCAGCAAAGCTATCACGTTATGGAAACTGCTTATTTCAAGTCATAACCTGCAACGAAACTTTCTCAGCAAAAGCACTCTGACTCCGGCACAATGGGCACATTATGGGCTTTCATTAGCCCAGAAGACACCTCACTGCATCCCTCCCCAAGCACTGTGCTAGCACCCCTTTGTCACACAGACCTGCTCCGCACCTCTACTACAGCAACACATCTATGCAAAGTTACTTAAGAGGAAGTCTAAAAGCAGGAAAGTCCTGCTGCAATTAGTTAAAATGAATTATTAGTTTGTCAGGCTTCCTGCAGTTCAAGCACCTTTCAATGAACTACAGCCAGGTTATGATTTTGGAGACAAACAGATGGGAACTTTGTCAATCTGTTCCAAGTCAGAGTAACAAGCTATTTCTGATGAACTTCGCTTTGAGCTTTGGAATCAAACCAGAGTATTTAGAAATCTGATCAAACTGGGTAAAGTTGGTCTCTACAAAACACACCTGTATCAGAGAAGAAGCTATTTTACAGGCACATGAAAAAGCACTGTGTAGAGCTTTGGCTGCCACTTGGCAGAAGACAAATGGCAGTCAGTGGGAAAACCAAGAAGCTCCCAGCCCAACAATGCGTATGTTGGAACCTAAATAGTCTGTTGTCTCAAAAATGTGGACTTCTTTGAGAAAGACCATACTGGAAAGGCTTACCTTCTTTGGAAGGGAAGAGAGGGGCAGGTATCTAAAAAAACCCCCAATTAACAACAGATTCAGAAACTGCTTCACTGTGTCTACGGTCCATAATGCTGGACCAGCTCTCAGTGCCAAGAACCAGACCTATCACCAAGCTTCTTCCCAGAAGCCACCCCACAGTCTCCAAAAAGCAGGCAAAAATCTCTTAAACAATTGCACCTTGACATGGTGTGCTGTCACTTCAAGTCCAGGGCTGGGACATCAACAGGGATTTTTCCATCCAAGAATCTGGGCAAGAGAAACCTGCTTTCTGCACTCGTGAAGAGCACACCCTGCTAAGACCCAGGGCATGACAACACACTTCATCTTCCAACTGCAACAAGTCTTAAAAAAATGGAATAGATGTTTCGGATCTGTAGTTCCCTATGTGCAACTAACTATACGAGGTTAGCTTAATTAAAAATGAATAATAATGTGAAAAATGATAGGGAAATAGAGAGTAAAGGCACGTTAGTACTTTTTCTCATCAAAGACATATTCCTTAAGCAGCTTTTTCAGATGATAGACATGCATCAACCTCAAATCCCTCTCTTTCTTTTACATTCTCTAACCACACAATACCTTACTTACCAATTATTTCTCATTGTCTTTTCCACTTGGCCCCATTAAAAAGTTTTAAAACTTTCCCATTATGCACTTCATCCTACTTTATTAGGTGGGTGGAATGGATTATTGTATTTTCACAGAGCAAACCCAAGTCCAGTTAGCTAAACAGCATATAATCTTAGAAGGGTGCCTTCAGGTGCTTCTGTAATGTAAATAAATTAATGAACTAATTCATGCAGCAGCAGTGCTTGTTTTGAGAAGTCTATTTAGGCTATGAACAAGACAATAGGCAGAGGGGAAATCAAGACAGCCAATGTGGCTGCTCAAGAACACACCATTGGTTTTCAGTAAAGCTGAAACCAGAACCCTGACCAGATCCCAATCCCACCTGATCCTCTACCTCATACATACTTAGACATGAACAAACTCGTTTATTTCACTGCACTTAATTCAAACCCTGGATGAGTTTGAATCTACTACCTTCAAAAAACAAAGATTCGGTCACTGAGCAATTCATCTCCATCCATTTAAAAACTATCAGTCTTCCCTCTCTCCCCTGAGATCCTTGTCAAAGGCCACACAACTCTCAAGGTGCAGCACTTACAAAACAGCAAATCATCACCTAATGAAGGTTTCTGGGTTTTCTTTCCCTTTAATATGCAAAGGGCTGTAAAAGAATAATCCTTCAGTATTTTTCCAGGGTACACTGTAACTTTCGCACAGCATGACAGACCTTTAGCACCTCAGTACGTATCATGAATAATTAAAGCAGCACATGCCAGGGGAAGAGCTGCCCTGTGCTCAGACACAACCAGTTCACATCTCTAAGCAAAACTGCAGGTTATGGGACCAACAGAAACCCTCAGATATTTGACACAGATGCATCTCGCTGTAAGCATCCAAATGTAGCTGTGCTACAAATATTTACCTTACTCTTAGTCGATTCCGTAAATTAATCTACGGGAAACGGCAACTACTCTGTAGCCAAACCAGAATAACTTAAAAAAAACCACCTCAGTCTACAATCCGCTTTGCAATGGAAAAAAA